CAACTACAGCCATTTTTCTGTGGATTAAGAGATAAAGTGCATTATTAAGTAATAGTAATTTAATTTAGCAATTGATAAGTTTGAAAATAGGGTATATATGTTTTGGCAAATTCTTCAACAGCCCATTCACACATTCGCATGTTTCGTCGACAGGTATAGTTATATAGTTTTTAAATTCTTAATTTATACATTCTAACATTAATTGATTATGGTTCAGTTTTTGCACGATAAAAACAATTTTGACTTTTAACTGAAAAGACATTTTTGTGAACCATTGTTATATTTCAATCTTCACTTCATAGGCCGAAAATTTAGTCCTACTAATATATTGAGGAAAGTATCACCCTATGTTGCAAATATAATTAACCTGAAGGAGTACAAATAATCTCTTAAAATTCGGACATTCGTTTATCCCGACTGTGTCCATTCCCACTTACAAGTGGAAGCATATAGGGTCTCCAGTGTCAGTGGAGTATCCGATTTCAACCATTTTTTTTTCTTTCGGTGATAATACATCGAAAAAGAATGGATGCTTATCCCGGCGTATATATATGATTTCAAACTAAATGTTATTTATTTTTTTCCTTTGTTTTGCCCAAATTTTTAGGTTATTATTATTTTACAGGATAAGAAAAAGTATTCACCATAGTTTTAAATGAATTATAATTTATCACAAATTAAAAAAAACAAAAGACGCTTCCAGTAAAGTAGATCAAGTAAATTTTTGTTATGGAAAAAAAATTTAGATTCGTTTTGAGTTACCTGTTAAACTCCTAAATAAGAAATTTTATGAAAATCTAAAATTGAAAAATTTAATACTTGATTTTCTAGATTTTTTTCCCCCGGTCGATAACTATAGAATTCATAACTGCTCAGGATTTTCTCCAAATCTTCATTAGTAAAACCGTTGGAAACCTGAATTATTTCTCTCCCGAATCTTAATAATTCACATCTTGACTTCATAGAAATCAAGAAAGTTTATAAAGTTCTTCTCAATCATTTTTATTTTATATCTTTTGTTCTAATTTGTTTACCGAGGTAGGTTTTATTCCATTTCGTGTAGCATATTGAGTCCTAAATCCCTAATAATGTTTTTTTAGATTGATGGAGGCCTTCTAAATTTATCACAGTTTTTGTAGTTGTCGGCAAAACTTTGAAGGCGCAAAAATGTTGCGCTGAAAATTTTAATTTTTCGATTGCTATAAAAATTCATATTAAGGAGCTTTTTGAGGTGCGAAAAACGAATCTCAACTTTGTTTCTCCTTAAAAAAAAATGTTTATTCTGAATACCAGAGCGATTTTGAACAAACATTATATTTGACAGGTAGCTATAATATGGGCACAATTTGTACCATCCTATACAGCAATGTGGGAATAATCTTTAAGGAAAAACATAGTTGGTATTCGTTTTTCGGACCTCAAAAAACACTTGAAAACGAATTTTTATAGCTATTGAAAATTAAAATTTCTGCACGTAATTTCTATCTGGACTGAACCCTTCGAAATTTTGTCGAAAACCACAAGAATTGTGATAACTTGAGAACGACTCCACCTATCCACTAAAATATTATTAGATATTTAGGGTTCTATATGTTACACGAAATGCTACTAACTCCGTAAACAAATCATAACGGAAGATATAAAATAAAAATGATTGGGAAGTTTTTCACAAAAAAATTTACTTTACTGGTATCCCCTTTTGGTTTATGTAATTTATGATGCATTATAACTCATTTAATATCATAGTCAATATTTTTTTCTTATTCTGCACAAAAAAAGTAATCGATTGACATATAATAGCCTATAAATCCTAAAAAAAAAAAAAAAATCAGAACTAAGGATGTACACAATTATTCTAATTCATGAATGAAGAAATCCTTATGTTTTTTCAAATACATGTTTCGTAGAATATTTGAACTAAAAAAGGATAATGTAACCTAAGCATTTAAACAGCAACAAAACATCGAATGAAAGAAGCGATATTAGATGGATGGAGGTATTATCGAATCATTAAAAGAGTAATCGATCCTAAATCGAATAATTTTTTAGCGTTCGAAGTGTCGACTGGATGAAACGTATTTGGAATCATTGTGTTGTTTGGTTGATACTGAAGATTTAGGTTTCGACGGATTCACGGAGAGGGGTATGACTCTCGGTGTCGACTTCCCTTAGATTTTCATTTTATTTTAAATATACCTACTAACATTTCCTTAGATGATTCAACAGCTAACAGAATTGGTTGAGTTCGGTGACTGGTGCACATACCATTGGGTATCGATAAGTGGCCGCTTCTTCAACCACATCTTTACTCCATGCTACCTAACCCATACAATCTTATCATTAATCAAATCAATAAATTATACAGACGTATTTAAATATTCATGAGCGTTCTCGAAATGATTTTTTTATTTTCACACTAAATCAAAACCAGGTGTTAAGGGGCTCGAGCGGTTGACGTAACCAACATTCAAGTTTTGCAATTGAAGGTTGCACACATGAAGCGCAGGAATATAGCATCGTAAATAAATGTAAAAGGCAACCTTCGAAAATCATGTATTAGAAATACTTAAATAATGCCTGGCCCTAATAGTTTTTTTTTTTTATAAAAATACATAATTATTTACGAATCGCATCAAATTATTTCATGTTAAACAAGAGCGACAGGAGGTACATTACGCTTCCTCATTTCGATGAAAAAGTATGGAGTTATGGCGGTCAATCAACACTCGGAAATTCCCGAAAACCATCTTTATTATGTTTTTCTACATTTTTTATTTTCACAAACATTTTTATTTTCTAATCTACTGAACTTTTAGTCTAATAAAAATATCCGTTATTATGTGCAATAGAACAGAATTATTTAATTTTTATTTATCTATTTCATCTCTTCTACTGAGGCCCTATTTTATTGGACCACAAAGTCGCCAGTCACCAGTGACTGACCAGATCAGCAGACAACGAGGCTCTATCTAAGTTCACTATAAAACTAATAACAAAGTAGCCCAGTGAAGGCTAGGTGAGTATGTGGGCAAAAGTTGGTAACAGCTAAGTTGCCAGTGACCAGTGGGCGACCAGCGGGCAACACTTTAAACACTTGAAGCAAAGTTACACTGGAACCACATGGTTGATTGATATAATTATATGATCTGTTTTTTAAAGAATGTTGAGTTTTTCGAAAATAGGTATAATATAAAAAAAACAATAGAGATAAATTATATTTAAAAACGCTTGAAAAATGCACAAATCACACTGAAAATCATAAATAATTTGTAATATAGTATATAATTATATATATATACAGGGTATTTCAGAGTTAATTTCCTCTGAAGGTATGTCCGTAAACTGTTTGTTTAGACTTGCTCAATCATATCCCATATACCAAACAATATATTGGCCGTGCAGGCCCAGTGGCTTGGCCTGCACGCTCTCCAGAACTGACACCACTGGATTTTTTTGTTTGGGGTGACATTAAACAAAAAGTCTATGCAAGTCCGGTCAATGACCTTAATTCCTTACAAAGAGGGATAATTGAATCTTGTGACACAATAGCACATAGCCAATGCCGTTTTGTTACTGCTGCTGTTGAAGAAAGATACCGAGCCTGTCTTAATACTCAAGGAAATCACCTCGAAAAACATTTAATATGAGTGTTAATATTTACATTTAATTAATAAAGCAGTGGGAACAAATAAATAGGTTTTATTTATTTCATATAACGTAAATAATTCATAACAACGAAAATCTTTAGGTGTGAATATCTCCTAATCGAAGCGTTTGCGGACATACTTATTTTTTTAGTTTGGCCACTTAGAGAGAGAGAGAGAGAATAATATAATTTATCTCCATTTTTTTTTTTTTTATATTACTCCTATTCTCGATAAACTCAACATTCTGTGAAAAAGTTATCCAAATAACTAGTCCGATCTGTCGTGCGAGTGTTGCTCGCCAGTCATTCTCTGGTCGCCCGGTGGTCACTGATGACGTTTTGCCTAACTATTGCTTAGTATAATAAAGGCTTGAAAGGGTATTACGTCACAGTTTTTATATTCTGCTATAAAACTTAATAAATAAACATTTAAAGAATTAAAAAACATTTAATACATGGTATATATTCCTATTACATGTATTAAAAAAGTACAAACACTATACAACAATACATATTATAATCAGGCTAGAGCTTCTCAGTGGAAGATTACATAATGTCTTGTTTTGAACATAAACCCTAATATTGCTAGCATTTAATATTCATAATAAATGATCTGATTTTAAGGGATCCCAGTGTGAAATAAAATATACCATTTAACTTTACCAGATTTTCTATTGTTTATAAATTAGAAGTTTCATTACATTGTTTAAAAAATAAATTAAGAGGGTGTGAACAAACTCTGCATGTTTATTTCTTTTATTGTGTTACCATAATAGAAGATAAACCAATTGGCGATTGCCTGCATCAAATTACATGGAAGCCATCCATACAGATCATTAAAACGATAGGCCTAATTGTGTATAAAGTAAAATTTATAATTTTATTAAAATAGCCTTGGATGTATCTCGTTTAGGATTCGGATTTTAGGATGGTATCGAACTTTTGTTTTAGGAATCATTTAAGTGAAGGGTTCATCTAATTTTATTTTAAGTAATAAGTGAGCTTCAATGTGAAGTATTAAAAATGATGCAAATAACAATTTATTGGATTTACCTTGTAAATGCGGAAACATTTTGATACGTAAAACCGAACTATGTATTTTTTATATCCATAAAATTCAAACTTATTACTTTAGTTTACTTGTTTATTTACCTGGTAAGTAATTAATAGTTTAGCGCTTGTTTTCTAAATAAGAACAATAGTCTAAATTCCTTGGCCTTGGTGTTGTCGAAGAGTAGGAATGAAACTGTTTATGAAGGAAATGCTAAAATATACAAATTCCCCCAAACTAATAGTTCGCTAATTGACTGTTAACGAGTACAGACCATAAGAGAGGCGTGCAGTCAGCCCCGCGATGCCGCAGAAGATCGTCCTCAACAGAGGGCGCAGCAAGGACCGCCTCGACGACATCACGGGCTTCTCGAGGAGGAGGAAATGGGCCACCTCCAAGCAGAACTACTTCTTGTTGTCTCTTCTAGAGCTCGACGAAAAAGTAAGACCTTTCTTGTTTCGAGAATGTTACGTTGGTGCTTAAATAGGTCGACGGAATCTTCCTCCGGGAAGCATATTCGCCGACCATAAATGGGGGAAGAAGCAAGAAATGGGTTAACGCTATGTGCAATATCTGCGTTCAGAAGGAATAGCGTGGTTTGTCAAACAAAGTGGTCCTCGTAGGTTATGTGTATTGTGATCACCTCTGAAGCCTTCTGTACACCGTTGCTAATTCACGTTTCTTATCTTTTCGAACTGTGTAGTCAGCAAGATCTTCACAGCGGGCAGAAAGCTTGGAAGATGAACAAAATATCTATAACTCATGAGGACCATATCTTGACTAACAAGTTCTTTCTTGTGACCATATATCGACGTTAAGCAATTGAAACCTGGTAATTCTATTGTAGTAAATTTTACATTACAAAAAATATGTAAAATTTTCCTATAGTTTTATTTTTCTATTTTTCTTTATACAATGTATACCTTGTTCATTGTCTTCCTTTCCTTGAGTTACGAGGTTTTCATTGCCTTCCGTCGATATATATTTGGCCTATTCACGTAACTTGTGGTAAATGCTTTATGTTTTGTGGTGCTGAACAGTTCTCATCAACCTTGTGTGAATGATAACGAATCTGTGTTAATCTGCTCATGTGTTAGTAGCTTTAGTAAGTTAAAAGTTTCATTTGCTTTGTGTTGAAATTGTAGATTGTAATATTTTAAGGGCTTATTTCTTCCATTTGATCGGATAACTTTTGATTAAATATTAGCTTACTCTATATAAGCATTAATTTAATTATTTAAGTAGGATGGTGCTATTACTAGAGATTGCTGCCGCGTACTAACCATAGTGGGAGTGTCTTCAAGGAGGAGAGTGCATCTTCTAAAAGTTTATTTCAATTTTTTAATATTAAGAGATATAGTGTGTATTAAAGTATAAATTTGACCCGTTTTATATTAATTAATTCATAATTTCAAATATATTCCAATTAAACATATTTTAGTGGTCTTTCATTTCCATTCTGAGTTGTTTATTCTTCCAAATTGTTTTTCAAGAGCTACCGTAGTTCTTCTTTTTTTTTTTTATGCATGTTTATGCTAATGACGTCGGCGTGTAATGAAAGAATTGAGTCATTTGCATCCTCCATATTTTTTCGTTATTCTCAATTCTCTTACTCCTTGAGACAGCTCAGTTACGCAACGGTGTTTATTAGTTATTTATCACTAATTTAGTTCTTTGTCCACTATGTCTGTTATTTTTGAAAATGTAAATATAATTTTTTCTCGTAATACTAACATAGATGACTAACCAAAACATCGCACGTGGTTTTTAAATTAAGAAAAAGAAGTATGCTAATAGATGTCTAAAAATAATGAACTGGCATAGATTTTCAAAATTCTGTATTTAGCGGAAACTATAGTTACATAGTGTATACATCTTAAAATAGTTCCATAGCGCTTACATACTACGATACATATACAACATACATACAATCTTTTTAAAATCGTTCAAATAATATATTTTAAAAAAATTGATACATTTTATAAAAAGGTTTCAATAAAAAAACTAAAGAAGTAATTAGGGGGCGCTAGAGTCATATTGATTAATATTTAATTAGATCGATTTAACGGAACTATGAAAATAAACATTTGTATATTTAACTATACTTAAATTAATGAAAATACATATAATAATAAAATGGTTTACCGCTTGTGTGCATATCACCGACCAGTAATCCTCAAACTATTTTTGTCGCGGCATACTAGTTGGAGTAAAACTAATTCGTGGCTATCTTCTAATTAAATAAATCACTAAAATATATTGTCGTAAAAAGAAATGAACAATATAAAAAACGATACCCCCACTTCATAGAGTACGGGAAGCGGTGTGCTCTACGCACTTCCGCCAGAGAAGGGGGAAGATACGTATGGAGAAGAATCGGCACCACAAATACCAACAGACATGGAGAAGCCAGAGGAGCAGTAGGGAGGAGAAGCTGGAAGGGAAACAGAAGACCAGGGATGGCTGATAGCCACCATAAAATAAACAAGGTGCAGCCCGATCAAAAGGTGCGCATCCGCGTGCCAGGCTATACAACAGAATATCCTATTTTATTGTTCCCAAAATACACACATTCTTAACCTTACTCCTTATTAATTAAAGATAATGAAACAAAGAGAGCTTTTATCGGTAACAAACACATACCCGAACATCATGTGGACACTATTCCACCCCTAAATAACGTTTTTTCTATTCCTATTTCTTATCTATCCAAATTAGAGTGGTTAGAAATGCGTACACCGCACTGTATTTTTAATCTTGTTAATAAGACTTATAGTCGCCATTATCACCACAGCGCCGATGAAACTTCAACACATAATGTCCCATTTGCACAGCAACTCTTTGATTATATATCTGGCGCATAGAAGAATGATGACCATAATGTCCTATTTTTTATACATTACTAATAATTCTATTAAATACTGTATTCTCCTCACAAACTCATTTGTTTCTTACCTCCCAACCAATTTCTAATAATTCTCTTAGATGTTTGAAAAGAAAATGGTCTTATTTAATGTTAAACTGTCATAGAAGTTCCACTTATGGTTAGCCTCTCAAGCTATTACCATGCAAAATTTGTTACTCAGCGTATATTCTGAATAAATAAAAAAATTCTCGTTAGTACTCCCCTTACAGTATCTATACGTCATATTTATTGTTTAGTATTGTATTCTAAAGTATCCTCTTGTTTTCCTTCTATAGATGTATGGGAAGTACACAAAGGAGCTCGGAGCGTACGCAAAAGAGGAAGCAAAGCGAGCGAAGAAGAAAAGCGTTCAGGAAGTGGACGAGACGTTGGGGAAGCCGCGGGGAAGATTGTACAACTCGAAGATCGCGAAGGTGATCGGCTGGGCGTGGAGGAACACCTTCGCCAGGCTCGGCGAGGACTGGGTCTTCTTGGCCCTCCTGGGCCTTATAATGGCCTTCCTCAGCTTCATCATGGACCACGGCATATCCATGTGCAACAAGGGTAAATATATATATTTTTTTTTTACTAACAGAATAAACTATATATTATTGTAAAAGTAATATAATTAATCTGTAGGGTAAACCACCCCGAATACTCTAGTTGGGTGCTACAGCCCCAATAAACACCAATTTCAACACCTACCAAGTTATTCCGATAACAAAAAACTTTGAAAATCAGAAAAAAAGTCATGTGGCATGATCATTATATAATGGATTTTCCCTGAACAACATAATATAGTATGATACAAAAAAGAACTGTAAAAAGAAAAATAATAATGATATATAATAGTAATTTAAAAAATATAGTCCGATCATTATTTTAAAATTTGCTTTATATATATATATATATATATATATATATAAGGAACTGAAATAAAATAGTAAGCATGGTAAAGTTTTTTTATAATAATACGGTTCACCGCTATAACGTAGAAAGCATTATGTTTAAAAATTATAGCATTATGTGCAATGTTTTTTTTTTCCCTCTCAAAGCAGCGCATGTGTACTGAAAAATTCTTCCTTTTTTTTCATTTATTTATTTAAATCTCTTCCCTGACTGTTAGACAATACGAGTGTATGCCGTAGTGGAAAGCTACACTTGCATGCATGACTATGCAATACTGCAATCATTACAATTAGATATTTCTGCCTATGAAATCGGCTTGCTTATCTTGGTTCTTTTATCCTTTGTAGTGGAGCTTCTTCCATCTGCCCAAGTAGAGGTGGGCTGGGCCAGTTACGTCTTTCCACTCATACACAAAGGTCTTGTAGTGCGGATAATTCTCTTTCGTCACTAGCTGAGGGAGATCGCTCTCCGATAGAACATAAGACATAGCTGTCTCCCTCAGCAACTTAGCCATCAGTGTCTCATAGGCGGTACAGAGAAGTGAGATGTGCTCGGCGGTCTCCGGTACCCTACAACATGGGTAAAGAGGATCTATGTTCTTACCATGTTTTACAAGCTTTTCTCGGAATCCACCATGCCATGTGAGGTATTGTGAGACCCAATAGTCCGGGAGAAGCCATGCAGTTTCCATTCTTGAACCGACGGGGGAGAGAGAGGAGTATTTCCTTAAGGTTAATCCTTTTGGCGTTGTTACCCAACGCCGGTTCATTTCTTCTAATGCATCCTTTTCCATCTGCTTGGGTCTTCACTGATCCTCAGTCGGAGATTAGCCGGTAGATCCACCAAGCCGTCTCTCTTCATTTTATACCGAAAGTAGTCTTATCGTAGGTGATCATTTGGAATATTTCCTGTAACGCCTCATGAGACACTGTCTTGTACACCTTAGTGACTCGCAGCAGACCCATATGCTGGATCGTCCCCAACCTTTTCTTCTGTTGGTGCGAGAGAACCTGACTCCATGGGACGCGTATCTCAGGATATCCAAGATAACTCCGTTATAAATTGCCTAAGTGAGATTTGTTACCATCTACATGTTTTATATGCTTTCTATTTATATACTACAATCTGTTTTATATATTATCTATATTATACACTATCCATTTATATAAATATGTTTTATTTTCTATTTTAATGCATATATATATACTTATTGCAGGTAGGATCTGGCTGTACAGGGACCTGGCCACACACCCTGTGGTACAATACCTCGCCTGGGTCAGTCTCCCTTTCTGCCTCATCCTGTTCTCAGCTGGCTTCGTCCACATAGTAGCGCCGCAATCTATAGGTCAGTTATCTTTTATTTGGCGTTTATGTTTTATATGTTGCCGTGTTTATAAAGCAAAGATAAATTAAAACTTCTTTATTTCACTTTAATTGAAGTCAACTAATGTGTTTTAGAAAATTGGAGTTACTAAGATTAATGCACAACTTGTTGAGTAGTTACTCATTAATATTTCATTAAAAAAAAATGTAAAATTGCAAAAATTAAAAAGGTACATCCTCGGCCCTATAAAGTTTCATAACGGAATATGTTGCATACTAAAATTAAAATAAAGTCGAGAATTGATTTAATAATTTCTGTCTACTTTAAATACTGAAGCAGTATAATTTCCACTATTAAATTGTACTGTCTGTAATTAAAATAATGTTTTATTAATTTTTTTCAGAATCGAATTAGTTTTATGCAAGGAACGGCAAAGGTCAGTGTATCGACAGGAAACATTTATCAATACGACCTATATCTCCGATGATCTAGAACAATCGGAATAGTTTCTAGATCATTATTATCTTCTGTGCTGTAGTCAAGGCTATCTATATAGTAGGTGGTCGGATGTTTTCCTATGTCAATACGTTATCGGGTTTTATGATTAATTGTTTCATTATAAAAAAAAAAAAAGAATAGAAAGAGGCACCTTTTTAAGATTCAACATAACCATTCTTAGACAGAAAATCTGGAAGATATAATATTAAACTAGTAATATTTTTCTATATCACATGTTTATGGAGAATGAACCCGTTATTCTTTCTCCTGTATTCAATATGTGGCAGGAATATCCAATGTTTGTGGATACTCTCAGTGTTCTAAAGAGGATCCCGGCGTAACAATTGGTCCTGTAAGTCGGAGGTTGTGATTGAGATGAATCAGCAGTCATTGACTGACGGTTGTTGACTGATTTGATTGATTGGCACTACCACACTCTACTCGAATCAGAGGCGGTTAGATAATGAGATTGGAGTAGGGGAAGGGAATTAGTGAGAGGGATTCTTGCGGTAGGCCATGGGCCAGGGGTTACCAGAAGGGAGTTTGATGGCGTAACTTGTGCCATACAAATTTTTGAGGGAGCTTATTTTGACTGGGTTTCGAATTTTTGAGGGGAGGGAATTTCGAAGGGCTATGAATTTTCGGAATAAAAAGTTTCAAAACAGAGAATTAGGAGGAAAAGATGGGACAGACTACAGAAAATGTAATTGTATATCATCTACGATCTGTTTAATCTTACTTTCGTTTGCATTCTTTTTAATAAGTGGAGAGAAATACAATTTTTGGAGAGTAGAGGAAAGTTCATGCGCCACCGACCTAGCTGGGAGGGCACCCTTGCCACTGGCTCTTCGATAGTATATTAGAATTGAAGGGGATCGTACGCAATACAACTGAGGAAATACGTGCATCTTCCGCGATTGAGAGTGTTAAGGTGGTTCCTTATCAAGCTCGAGTCTAGCGGCCTCGATTCGGATCCAGCCTGTGTGGTTTGACATTTATTTTATGATGGATCACAAATCTGTAGAATTACCCCTCTATCTCCTCCCCCCCTTTCCTCGTGTATAGCATAAATTGACAGGTAAGGACTAAAGAAAAAATAAACTACATATCATATGTGATGTTTCATTTGGCGTATATTTTCTCATGTACTGTTTTATATTTACTCTGGAAATAAAGTATCGAAATACTACAATATCAGAATTTACAGACGACATTTCTGTTTACGTCTCATCCTCTTTTTAAAGGGTGTAGAAGGACGGAGTTAATTTGGCTGAGGAATCTAGACGATTGTGGTATCCTTATGTATATGTTTTCTGAATCGAAAGAATACAACACCAATAGTTTAAAAATTAGAAAAGATTTTAAATAAAAATTTAGAGATGGTATACATTTTTTTTAGATGCAAAAGAGAGAGACTCAGGTTTTAACTGGATCTCGCAAATTAAAAAAATAGCAGCAAATAATTATATTGATGACGGCCTTTTTGAAGAGCTAAAACCAAATTACTTACTTACTAATAAAGATGTAATTATCGAAAAAGTAAAAAATCATTTCTACTCTATAGATATTGATAGAACTCTCAACTCTAAATACAACCCACTTTACAGAACTGTTTGTAGCTTTAATAGCCCTCAGCCGCAAGAATATTTAACTTACCATGTAAATATAAACAAATTGAAACTAGTTAGCCAATTAAGAACTTCAGATACGGAAAGGCTGAAACTTTTTCATAAAAATACCACTTTGATTATAAAAGTGGGGGAAAAATGTGGATGGTGTCAAGAACATATCACCCAAAACATAGAATACCTGCTATTGCAATACCCCAGACTAAGTATTGATAGGGAAAAACACCTAGGAGATTATATTGTCCAAAACAATAAACAATTATCTTTAGAAAATCTTTTAAATATTGATAGTGCGGACAAACTAAATAACATCTATTTCTTTTTGTTAATAACTATATATAGGTATTTAGAGTAAGAAGGACTATATTATATTGTGCTATGTACAAACGCTCTCACTCATTTAATGCTAACCTGGGTGTATTAATATGTGTTATTAACTGAAACGCCTCTGCAATAGGGAACTGGCCATTAAAGTCGTGTATAATGTTAGTCTTTGATGCTAATGGATCTTTTCTCAATAAATAACTGACGGCATTTAAATCGAACTTGAGGGGACATCAATCAGTTTCGAATTCGCACAAATTACAAAATGTCGAGATTTATTGGGTGGGATAGTTGCAACAACGGTTGGAGTCTACATTGGTGCACCTACGTGTTTCATTAGACGGTTTCAAGAAATCAAATTTAAATCAAGGAATCAAATATATATATATATATATATTATTTATCGCGATACAGGCCAACGATGGACCACGCATATAATACTTCTAGGTCTTTTTCTTTTTTCTTTTTTGACCATCTGTTTTTTCTTAGCCCTAATGTAGGTCTGAACTTTATGCCGAAACATCGGCAAATATAAAAATAAAAACAATTATTTATTTTTACTATTTTTTTTTTAATGATCACGCCAGCCATTCATTTCTTCAATTATTCACTATAGTCAACTATCAATCCACTATTTTAAATAAAAATATTGAAGGAATATAAGCGAATAAATTCATTGAAGTGAAGAAATATCAAATAATTTATAGGAAACCTTCTTGTTGGTTGGTTGGTTTTTGTATAGTAAAGGCGTAAAACCTGTAGACCATCAACGCCGTGAACCCTTCTTGTGTTTCTCGGGTAAAGGTAACCATCCAACGGTAACAACTAAAGCAATATTCCTGCACGAAGAATGGATAGCTAAACTAGTTAGTTTATTTAGGTATTCAGTGCTAACTGCTCTCTGCATTTATGACTTATACAGGGTGAAAGAAGCATTGGCTGATATTAAACATTAAAATCTTTTTATAAACACTCGATTTGAGTCTAAGGAATTCAATACATAGTTTGAACCGCAACAATACATTTGCGGATACTATATTTTTTTCTCGCGAAATTCCGCAAAATGATCCTAGCAAAAAAGAAAGAAAAAATACTGATATAATAATACAAAAATTGATACGATAGGATCGTACGATACCTTGGAATGTTGCTCAACTTGCATGACATGATTCCTTGCATCACTAACCGCCTCAAACGCTGTGCAATGGTCGTATTAACGTAACTATCCCTCGAATTGATCAGTTTTTATAGTCGCCTTCAATTTGCTTGCCGTTGAGGATGAAAAGATGTATTCGATCTTCATATTCACCCATGACAGCATTCAATTACCACAACGTGAAAGGTGAATTCACTCATGTTCTCTTCACACCAGCCTTATTCAGATAATAGTATACTTGAAGATTGACAGCTTCTTCATTAAGAATTATTAGATAATATTTCGCCTACGGTAATGGAGCTATTACAGAGCGCTTCGTGTTAGTAACCTTGGATGGTAGTGTATTACCGAATGATGGTGAGACCACATGAGCTAATATTGCATGTTATACTTTTCAAAATATATTAATTACCAATCACATAAAATCGAAAATTATATTTCTGCTCACAACAAAATAAAGAATATTCTCAAATTCGGAAGATCAAAATTAATCCAGAACATCACCTCCATTCTTGGGCGTTTCCTATCTAATATTATTTTTTAAAGACGAAAACCTTGAGCAATGCCTAGGAAAGCATGCCGATGGATAGGATTTTCTTTTAGCCACTCAACTGGAATTCCTTACACAAGAAAAAGAAGACAATAATCCAATATTTATACACATCGTAAACAGCTCTTAATAGTCTGAAAAGACATTCCCAATAACCTCAAAATGTGTTACTTTGCATCAATTTTGGGAACCCTACATTGTGAGAATCTACATTTTGTAGCAACCTAAAGGGTTCAGAAAGGAATAAGATTTTTTCGAAAATTTGTTTTTCACAGTTTATGTACCATAGTATTGCAAGGATTTTGGAAATAAAAAAAAAATAAAATGAGATGACAATAAAATTGTAACGATTATTTGTGAGGACACGGATACAGGAGAAAGGTTATCGGGATTACGACTAAGGAAAAGATTAATAACTAAAACGGTAATTTGCTTCCTAATCTGAACAAATTAGAGACCACAGTTTATACTTCCAGAAGAAGCAAAACAGCTCTAAAAGGTTGAGATACGTTATGTAGCGGGAGAAAACTTATGTTCTCCTTCTAGTGAACTTTGCACCCACCAATCGAAAGATATTATATCCATATTTTCCTACCAGATCTTTCGCGCCTTAGACTACCCACTAGTGGACCACATAGAGCAACACGAAAAATGTGAGCATGTTTTCTGTGCATAAAACATTTGTACCATTGGAGCGATGTTATCTCGTAAGTAGTAAAGTGACCCACCTCAACGTTATATATGTATTATTAATTATATATTAATTACTTGTACTAATAATTGCTTTGGATTATTTTAATGTGTTTTTTTTTCTTAATGGCTTTAAAGTGCTGTTAGATATCTTTTTAAAACAACAATATGACAAGTAATCAAGTAAGAAACTCAAAATAAATATAGAAACATTAGCCGGTTGGAAAATTATTCGGATTATATACATAGCGAACTCCTGGTTAGCAATTCCTTTTTCACAAGACATTAGGCTAAGCATATGTTGATTTTGATATGAACATTAGAACTGTATGATGGTGCTAAATTGCTGCTTGGTTGCCTAGGTTCGGGTATCCCGGAGATGAAGACTATACTGCGCGGAGTATCCTTGAAGGAATACCTGACGTTCAGGACCCTGGTGGCTAAGGTCATCGGCCTCACCGCCACCCTTGGCAGTGGCCTTCCTCTCGGCAAGGAGGTGAGCTTGTAGAACAGTTTGTTTGTTGTTGTTTGTATTCCTCAGTGTTTGTCTTTCTATATCGTGTTTACATTTAGAAAAATACAATTCAGGTAATCCGAGGTATTCATTGCATTCTAATTCATCTATACGTGATTTGAACTAAAAAATATTAATGAAAAAAAATATTATTAGTGCACGAATTAAATCCATTGTATGGTAAAACCGCAGTAGTATAATGATACAGCAAAACAGAAAAGAAAAAATAAATAAATCCTATTACACTATTTATTTATCATAGTAGACTAGTTCATTGATTTAATATAACCTTGAACCACTAAGAACTTGAATGAATGATCGGTAATAAGGTCAAAATTCACAAAAATCTTGGAAGTACAGCTCTATCAAAAATGTACTTAGAGACTTTCGCAACAATATGAGCATTTTTCTTAGTTCCATTTTATAGTTCATGGAGATATTTAAGGGTTTGTATTTTATTGGATTACAAAATATTGCTATTTTTTAATACCTTCATTTTATTTTTTACTTTCACTTACGTATATATGTAATATATAGTAAGGGTAAGTATTGCGATAGTGAAAATTTTCGAATCTCAGTTTTCAACGAAAATACATATTTTGAGGTTCCCTGAGTCCAAATAACCAAATGTCGCAAAATGGTATGTGTGTGTCTGTGTCTGTGTGACTGAAGTCTAGCTCATAAAGGAAAAGTAGTACGAAACTGATATTAAGTATTGAAGGTTTACATATGAACCGGATGTGACAACAACTTTTTCGTTAAAATCGGCTAACCGGAAGTGCCACTTTATATGAACGCTGAAACACATTTTTACAATTTTCTCAAAAACGTCTCTAACGATTTTGATTAAACTTGGTGTATCATTGTATAATTAAGTCGTCTTTAATAGTGTGTGTGTGTGTGTGTGTGTGTGTTAACACTCTAGCTCATAAACGAAAAGTAGTACGAAAATGATATACGAAAAACTGGTTTTTTAAAAGTTTATGGAATTTCCTAAAAAAACAAAAAAAAAAATCGTTAAAATCGGACAATTAGGAGGAAAGATGTGGTCTCTAGTTGTTTTCTCTGAAGAGGCAAACATTTGGATAAATTTAAAATATACTTTTTTAATTGTTGAGACTTAAAACCTTTTTTCTACAAATATTTTATAAAGTATCTTTCCTAAGAACATCTTTCTTAAGAAATAAGTACCTAAATGTATACCTTTATTCTCAGTTCTATTTTCAAACACTGCAATCACCACCTTCGGAATCATCTTACTCACTGTCTGCATAGATAACTTTTTCAACTAAAAATATCACTAAAATGACATTACTCAAAAATGTTGAAATTGGAGTTAGTCATTCTGTGGCTTTTAAAAGCAAAGAAAGTTGTGTGGTTTATAAAAGCAGATAGAGTGACTATATTTTTATTGCCTATCGTCGATTTATTAAATAGACATTTGTAATTATAATGGTCTTAATGACTTGTTGTCTGTAAGCTTTAAGCTTTAGCTCTGTTTAAAATTCACTTCAAAAAATATTATAATAGCCCAGCATTGCCTGAAAATAAGTTTTATTCAAAGTAGAGCGGTAAGTGAAAGTTTTGTGTTGCGCGCACCAGATGTTTTACATATTGAATTGATTCATATTTATAATGTGATCGAAAACAAATACATATTGGAATTTTTCTTCCAATATTGCGATAAAATCAAATCCTTTGTTTTCAACGGTATTGGGCGATATCAATATTGACATTATCGCAACATTTCTAGATACTCATTTTTATTTATTTTTACTGCAGTAAATCAGCTATTCAACATTTGTGAAAATTTTTGGTTTCCGTATTACTAGTAACAAAGCAGTGATAGAAAGCGTATGAATAAAATTAAAACTTATAAGAAGATGAAGTTTTCTCAAGGAACAAAGGGGGATAATACGTTTATAGCTTTTATCATATAAAACGTTTGAACTTTATGAAAGTAATGCTAATATAATAATTCCTTATTCAAAATTAATTTAAACATGCTTATATTATTTTGTTTACTTGTAAATCATTATTCTCGGTTTATTATTTCATAAAAAAAATCTTAACACCAGGTATGACGAAAACATTCGTGTTATTTATTATTTATAACTAATTATATATTATAGTTTAACTAGTTATAGTTTCTTTTTAATAAGAATCAAATGACTTATTCGCCGCAATGTCAATCTCGTTGAAGAGCAAGAGCTGTATGAGGAAGTGATATATATAACAAGAGGGGGAGGGGGAAGAGGGGAAGAAGAGAAGAGTGAAGATCTAACTGACTCAGCCAAAAAGAGTTGACAAGCGTGTGGAGGTAGGTCATGATTCGCGATTATGCCAAATGGGTCCTCCAGACGATTGGGTTTCACGATCTCTCACGGGCGCGAGGGTTGTCTAGTCAAGCCCCAAGGCCTTGACCAGGATGTTGATCCCAATGCCCCACTTGTGCTCTTCCAAACACCGCCAAGAATCTGATCCCGACCCGCACTGCCTACGAAGCGTCTTTTATAACCTCGGCAATTCACATCCTAACGGAGAGTTTTCTAAATTAATGAGTTAGCAGAACTTATCTTGGTTTTAGGAACTTGTTTATTGCCTAGAATGGTTGGGCGATCCAATACAACTTCCAGGACTAGCATGAGGAAGATGGATGGCACCCTGTACAACTGAAGATCAGAAAAGAACAATCATCGATAGCAAAATTGGCACCTAAAAAGTCAGAAAATCAAGGAAAGGTTGGAATAGGGAGAACAACAAACAACCTTTTTCCTATAACAGTAGATAAAAATTGGCCTTCTTTATATCATTAAATCTATTGCTTTTGTCCTGTATGAATATATTTATATAATAATTTTATACAATTGACTGACAGTTTTTTTTTCATGGCTAAAAAAATAAAAATAAATAATGCAATATTTATTTCCTAAAATAATTCTCCCAGGCACCAATAGAGGATTCTGATTCTCAAACTTGAGGTATGTTTATTGGTCATTTGTGTTTTAAAAAAATTAAAAGGTTGGAATAATAAATAACTGAGGAAGTAAGAAAAAATAATATGACTTTTAAAACCAATATAGCTAAGATTGTTCTAGCATTCAGCTAAAATTTAGTATTGTTACTTCATGTTTTTAACTTCATTTATCATTTCTTTCCTGTCAATGAATACTATAAGAAATGACTCTCTAATTACCGAAATAAAACATGATTGTACTGAATTGTAAGAGAATTCAAATGTAAAAGTTCTGTTTCGATTTCAATTAACATTGTTAGTTTGTAAATTTCTCATCCATTTGCTTATGTGTTGTGTTGGTAACTGGCAACCCAAAATTGAATTCTGGATCCTCTATTTACCACTTGTTAATGAAGTTAAGCAGGGCATTATGATTATAAAACTTAATCACTTTTTAATTAAATATGGTGAAATCTGAAAAGGAGGCAGTCTTATAGAAGTTGAGGGAGAGATGGGATAGAACTCCTTCCAACTGGGATTGTTCTTTGTGAATAATTTATATTCTCTACAGCTGATGATTCTTAAAAGTTAAAACATTCAGTGTGGATATCCTTGTTCTCCTTGGAAGTATGTTAAGCTTTCTTTTAATACCTTCTGCTACATGCTTACATACTTATGCATCGAAGCATATGCCTAAATAGCTTGGAGTGTTGTTCAGTAAATCCCCGGAATAACAATTAAAACATATTTCAATTTCATTGATCAGGAGTTTATTATAAATAAGGGATAATGGATCCTCAAAAATAATGTACTTATTGTTTAAACATCTCAGCATTCTTTCCTACTTCCATGAATTTTTAAAAAATCCTAGTATCAGTATTGTTTACTTATTGTATCAGCATTGTAAACATTCATTCTTCCTGTTGTATATTACATTAAAATCAAAATTATAAATGTTTTCTTTTATTTAATTATAACTTAAAGGACATTTGCAATATCAATATTTTATTATTTCAGGGTCCTTTTGTACATATCGCAAGTATAGCTGCTACCCTTCTTTCAAAACTGGTCACTTCATTTCAGTCCATATATGAAAATGAATCTCGTAACACGGAAATGCTTGCAGCAGCCTGCGCTGCTGGTGTTGCAAGTTGTTTCGGGGCCCCTATTGGTGGTAAGCTTCTTTTATGCAAATATAACTTGATTAATATTACTTATAGAAATTTTAAAATAATATAATTCTGAGCTTTATGTTTTAGATATATAATTTTTTTTGTCAGAAAATTATAAGAATAATACTTGCTTATCATGACATTTAATATCTTGAAATAATATCTGATCAGCACTGTTCAAAAGGTGTTTTATTTAGCATCGAGGTCACTACTGTTTATTTCGCAATCAGGAACTATTGGAGAGGATTCTTCACTGCAGTCTGCGGAGCAACAGTTTTCCGTCTTTTAGCTGTTTGGTTTCAAAAAGAAGGTAAATATAAAATATATTATCTGTATTAGTTTATTTAAGGGAAATATAACTGTTATCATCTTAACAAGTTTTTTAAAAACAACCTTACTTTTTAATTGCTTTGATGAATATATATTATTTTAAATAAACTAATTAATTAGTTAATTCTTATTATTAAATAATTTTTAATTTTTCAGCAGCTAACATAATATCGTAAGTAAAATATTATGGGATGTTTCATTCTGGTTTCAGATTAACGTTGATAAAGAAACGGTTCCTTGTCATGATTCGGCATGTTTCTGCTCGCTATGAGCCATGCAATTTTTTGTATTTCCGTTTAAACTTCCTTGTCTATTATACTGATGATATTTTTTAATATTTCTTTTCTTCTCTTTCTTAAAGAAATGAATGGATTTGTAATTCTTTGTTGTTTCTTCTATCAAAAATCTTTTGATCATCTTCTTCAAAAAATTATCTTGAAGAATGGTTGTTTCTTGAAGTTACTGAAGTTTCATTTTTGTCCTTTTCATAATTAATAAATTTTGTTATTTTTTTAATTGATATCATTGATAGATTACATTATGACTAGACCAATAAAATTGTTTTTATAAAAATCAAGCTTTATTTAATAATGAGTTTTAAATTAATTCTTAAGTAAGAATGCCATGATGTTATTTAGTAAGTTTTATTATAATAATAACTAAATATAGAAAGTGAAAATAAAAAATAAATATGTGATTAATATCTGCTTATTGTCAATATTTAAAAATAATATTGTAATTTTAATGTCATTATCACAGTTTAATTTATTAATTTAGATTAATTTGTTTTCTCTATTTGTATAATTTGTATTTCTTTTCCCATCTAATAAATTGAATACTTCTTCATTACTTGAACATGAAAATTCAGTTTTTCAAAGTACAATAATATCAAACATCTTTATTAATTGATATTCAAGTATTTGGAAGGCAGGATTCATCTTCTGTACAATTGAAATTAGATAATTTATGCAAATTTAATAAGAAATTCAAAATCAATTTACAAAAAAAAAAAAAATCATATTGTCTTAATGGATTATATTTATTTAAACATGTATTTTATAATTTTATTTTCTAGATACAGTCAAAGCCTACTTCCAGACTAACTTTACAATGGAATTTCCATTTGACCCCCAAGAATTAGTTGTTTTTTCTTTAATGGGGTAAGATTGATTAACATTTTTATTTTTATTAATTTATCACACTTCTATGACTCAGAGATTTGTTGGAAACCAAATAATACATGTGTTAATCTTCCATTTACAGGGTCGTATGTGGTATTGGTGGTGCTGCTTATGTTTGGTCCCACCGACAATATGTCCTTTTTATGAGAAAAAATAAGAAAATGAATGCCTTTCTACAAAAAAAGTGAGTCATGTTTTTAAATCGTAAATGAAAAAGTTTTAGAACACTTACAGTTTTCACTAAAAGGTATTTAGTGACAACAACATATAAAAATCATGTTTGAAAATAACATAAAGATGAAATCATTGGTCATCTTCTTTTTGTTTACATTTTTAGTCGATTTCTCTATCCAGGAATTGTGGTTCTTGTTGCATCTTCTGTATCTTTTCCTCTCGGACTTGGAAGGTTTATGGCTGGAGATTTAAATACACACGACCAGGTAAAAATAAATTTATGATAATAGCCATTGCAAAAGCATGTAAATCAATTTAAAATTGATTTCTGTTGATAATTTTCTTTATAGGTATCTGGCCTTTTTTCAAACTTTACTTGGACTAAAGATGAACTAACTGTGGAAGAATCAGAAGTACTTAGGCACTGGACAACCAAAAGTACAGACCATTTTATCTGTCTCACTGGGTTCATTTTTTATACTGTAAGTCAATTTTTCTATTTTTTTAAACGTTATTTCATCATTGGGTAGTTTAAAAAAAAGAATAATAAATAAAATAAAAGCTCTCAACATGTGGCCCATATAAGCTATGAAAATAATTTATTTCAAAACAATTGAATTTTAAAAGTTAATGCAGCGTTAGTTTTATTTATTGAATTTAAATATAGCTCTTTGAAGTGAAAAATTCTGTTTGCAAGTTTTTTTTTGTGGAGAGTGAATTACATTGAGCCACCATATCTCCAATGTGTAAAGCTCGAGTAAATTTGGCTGGAGTTGACTAATTGAAGTGTTTTTGCTTATGGATTAAAATATCTGAAAAACTAAAAATCAGACCTGCTTATTGTTAGCAGAGAAATTTTCATACTCTTTGTAATGAGATACTATTAAAAATGTTAGCTTAACGCGACACCGTGTTGGAGAGGCGAAAAGGGAAAAATAGTAATATCTTTATCGTTGAAAACAAAACGATAAAGATATGGATCAAAGTATCTCAGAAACTAAAAATCAGGCCTGCATACTGTAAACGAGGTTATTGTTCGGCATTTCATCCTCTTTATAATAAGCTATCATTTATAATTTATATTTCATATTATTAATCTCGCTTTGTTGATGTTTTTACTTCTATGTGGTCTAAAGCACACACCTTAGTTTTTTTTAATCTATGACAAATATACTAATGAGTGGCTATGGTGGTTAATATTTTAAGAAATACTTCTGTTAAAAGCTCTTTAATAGAAATTAAATACTTTTTTATTGTTACATAAATTAAAGTATAAATAACATAATTTCTTGGACTGTAATTTTTGTAGAACATCTAAAATTCTTTGAACTATGTTTTAAGAGATTTTGCTGAAAATTCTTCCTTCCTCTTTCAATGAATCTATTTTTTTTTTTTTTTTCCAGTTTATATTTTCAATCATAGCTTCTACGATCCCTGTTCCATCAGGTAGTTTTATACCTGTCTTTAAAATTGGAGCAGCCCTTGGAAGAATTGCAGGAGAGCTGATGCATGTTATTTTTCCACAGGGTATACACCATAGCGAATTTACTACACCTATCATACCTGGTTAGCGAAAACTTGTTTGTTGTTCTTAAGAAATATAAATATTTTATGGTTACTAAATTCTTTATAATATTTTTCAGGTGGTTATGCAGCTGTTGGCGCTGCTGCTTTCTCTGGAGCTGTCACACATACTATTTCAGTGTCTGTTATCGTTTTTGAGATGACTGGTCAAATAACTCATATTATCCCTATAATGGTTAGTCTTCAAATTTATACAATTCAATTCCTTTGTCTTATTGCAATACATTACTGTAGATTTCCTAAAAATAGTAATTTATTGTGTCGTTAACATTTTTAATGATTATTTTTGTAATTGAAAATATTTTAGAGATGATTTACTATAAATCCATTATTTTTCTTTTCATTTTATCAAATAGGAAATCTAAGCTCGCCATTGAACTTTAGTGAAGAACATTTTGAATTTTGAACAATTATTAACTAGCCATTGAAACAGTTGCAAAGATCAATTTCCTATTATATAATTTTATGTTCAGGATTTTAAATAATTTTTTTAAAAGATAAAATCCTTGACACCAGCAAAGGATATAATTGGCCAGGGTGTCCTTAACAATTTATTTAATGTTTTCTGGTATCTGTATTATTACATTAATCAAATATTATTAACCTTATTTTTTGGAGTACAATGTTATTACTTAACCCCCTGTCGGATGCATTAAAAAACCTAACATAATTAGGAGATAAAATTTGAGAAGTTTTTTGTAATCATGTATACTAAAACAGAGTGGAGTGCCTAAATGACTGAGGTACTATGTTTTTATGTTCTCGGTCCTGGGTTCGAGACCGGCTGTGACAAGTAATTATTTATTATATTACATCAGCCATAAATTGATTCTGAGGTTGAGAGGCCCTCCTTGGGCACACCCAGACCCTATAAATTGTTTACTCTCAATTAAATAATTTATTATGAGGGGAAATATGGTGATTTAGGTGTGTGACATCGGTCAAATCACTTCCTTACATATATATATATGTATTTACTTAATGATAATTTTTACATTTTTTTTTATTTCTTATTGAATACATTAAAATAGTACTTTATGCATGGCTTTTTTTTTTTTTTATTGTTCACATACCATGTGGAATGTTCTTGCCTTATACAGTATGGGAACCCTGTCCTATTATTTTTTTCTAGGGGAGCTTTAGGGGTAAGTAATAGTACAAAATATTCTAAATCTATTTCAATTCAATTCAAAATCCATTTAATGGAAACAAAGTAAATCACCCTAAATAGGTGCAATAGTTCTGGAAACGTTACTAAAAAGGTTCTTGGAATTTTTAAAAAAAATTTGAGCAGTATGTAACTAACTCATCTTGGAGGTTTATTGCGCCTGACAGAGGATTTAAAGGAGCCAATTAAAAACACTAATATATTTTTTTTTAAGAATGAAAGATTTCCTATTTGTATCTTTAGTGGTGTTGCTAGATAGCAGTCCTGATAGCCAATGCAATCGCTTCTCTCCTCCAGCCTTCCCTTTATGATAGCATCATTCTCATTAAGAAGCTTCCATACCTGCCTGACTTACTCCCTTCTAGCTCAGGTAAATTTTATGAACAATATAAGCTAAGTAATTTTTTATTGATTTACTAATTCGATACACTATTTATTCATTAGTAATTTGTGGTTAGGATAGTATTAGGTCATTTCATATGAAATGTCCGTTTTTATTATTTCAGAAATTGAAAGTGGGATTAGTGGACTGTTGTTTCTACGTCTATGTTTACAGATTATGATGAGCCTTTATTAATCCTCTCTTTTTTTATAACATTTACTATCATTCCGATTGAATGCACCTTGTTTTAGTATGCCATCAAATATGACCATGAAGTTTCAAGTCATTTTTTTAATATGTTTAAATTTGGGCACCGAGCTACAAGAAACATTACCACAGCATTAAGAAAAGAGTGTTGTAATGAAATGAACAGACCATTTGCTGGTGGTTTGAAAAAAATTTGCATCCAAAAAAATTATTGTTTTCGATTTAATGGTCAATGGCAGGAATTATTCATTCCTCCTTTTTACCCATAGGTCAAACCATCACATCCACATCATACTGCAGTGATATTGGCATAATGCTTGTCAAAAAATAACCTGCATTGGTTAATCATAAGGGACTTATACCCTTACATGATAATGCCAGACCTCATGTTTCAAGACAGGCATTGAAGAAATTAAACAAGCTGTGTTACAAAGTCCTTCCACACCCACCTTATTCGCCAGACTTATCTCCAACAGATTTCCATCTGTTCAGAAATTCGGACAACTTCTTTAATGATAAATTTTTTTTCAATAATTCTCAGGTCAAAAACACATTTTCTAATTTCATTTCTTCATAAAGCCTTGAATTTTTCAGTTCTGGGATTGAAAAGTTGATAGCAATTTGGGAAAAATATATAGAAAATGAGAATAAATATTATTAATAAAAATGTTTGATGTCACAAAGTTATTTTATGAAATTATCTTCCCTGTGAAAACTGACATTTCATATGAAACAACCCAATAATTGATTATTTTAGTGTATTAAAATATTCAAAAATTTATCATAAATAGGATTGACTTATTGATAATCATAATATTAGAACTCAATATTAAAATGTCTATTGATAAGAGAATCTATTCTTCTAGGAATTTACAATGTTTATGTAGAGGATTTTATGATTAGAGATGTTAAGTATATTTGGAATAATATGAGTTATCATGAACTGAAAGCTGTCCTAAAAGAAAATCGTCGACTTCGGAGTTTTCCACTTGTTGAAAAGCCAGGTTATTACTTTTAATTGATTTATAATTTATATTATTTTAATAGTAATTTTTGTTACTTTTGGCAACAAGCAACAATCTGAAGCTATAGTTTAATTCCAGAAAATATGATCCTTCTTGGTTCAATTCAAAGGCTAGAATTGATAAAGATCATAGAAAAACACATCGGCAGGGAAAGAAGACTTCAGGTTGTTGCAAGATGGCAAAAAGAAGCTCAAGAAAGGTATTTATTGATATAGTATACTTCTACAGTAGTAAAAACTGTGCACTATAAAATAATTTTTAAATATTTATTTCTACAAATCCATATTGGGTATCCAGGGCTAAAGAGGAATACGAAAGAAAGAGGAGAGAAAGTGAAAGACAGAGGAGGCCATCTAGATTTGAAGTTACCCCTGCACCTGACATACTTAGGATGAAGCAGCAGTCTTCAGGTACTCTCGATTCAGACCATGGATACAGGGTAATTTTCTACCAACCACATTTTATTTTATTTGTTTGTTTGTTTGGAACTTAATTAATACTATTAAAAGTTTATATTAGGAACTATGTACAAATGAAATTTCCTTTATTTTATTATTTCTTTTGTAACTTCTTTTCCTATTATTTCTCAAGGTTTATTAATATGAAAAATTAAATAAAGTTTCATCAAAATTTTTAGAGCCATTTTGCTTCTGTCTGTGTATAAACATTTTTTTTTTTTTTTTGGCACCGCTGTTGACCAGCAACCTGATGTCCCAGTGCCTTAAAGGCAAGGAAGGAGAAGATAAAAAAAAAAATATGTCACTATTGTGCACAGATTACCTAATTTTTCACACAGACATCTGAGACTAATATCCTACTACACAGTTTTTTAAAAATGCATTGTATTTCTTTTTTTTGGACTGAAGGGACTCAGATTGATTTATTGAAAAGTGCCAAAATGTTGACCTAATTACAATTCTTTAATTAGAAAAGTATAAAAAAATACAAAGCATCACTACCCTCTGTATTGAGGAAGCAATAGTTGTTAGTCATCTAATTTGTCAATATGGAATTATTTTTTTATTATTTACAAATATTATTTTATTATTATTACAAAAAATGGCTTGCCAGTTGTCTTGTGTCAGTCCAGTTAGCAAGTAGTCCTCAGTCCAGTCAAGTCTGTGGCTTTTTGGCTATCACGTCGGAGTCAGTGTGCTATATTGTGGTGTATTATAGACTATCGAAACATTTGATATGGCTGCATGTTACAAAATCTGCCACCATTGGTAACATCAATCAATCCCGTTTTTTGTCCTATATAACGATGAAGTGTCTCTCAGAATAAGTTCCAGCGTATTGTTGTGAAACAGCTGGAGCTTAGTTGCCATTGAGAATGATTTATTTGCTAGAATCGGCGCTCCATGAAAAAGTGCCGGTCTTATGACACTATTGAAAATTATTAATTTAAGTTGGAACAGCAGATCTCAAGACCTACAAAAAAGTTCATATAAACAATAACCCAGTTTCCAGCAGAAAAGTAAGAACTGTGCTTTTTTAAGCAAGTCACGTTTTTGTTGAATAGGAAGTAATAACATAAAAAATATTTTATTTAAGTAACTAAAAATTACTCCGTAGTAAACTAGACAAAATTTACTTTAAAAGTAAGTAGAGTTTGTCATTGATAAAACTGTTTAACATTGATTATTGGGACTATTGGGTCTTTAAAGAGGAATATTGGGAGAAAAAACACAGCTAATTTTAAAAAAAAGTCATTAATTATTTGATTTTTTTTTTATTATTCTTTAGCTGTAATACATTTATCCCACTTTTACAAAAACTTTCTCGTTTAAGAAGCTTTAAGTACATATTAATTAAGTTGAGTTTTTTAGGAAAAATTTTTAGATTCACCTCAAATTGTGTAAAGAAATGATGTGATTTCCTATCCAGTCACTTTCTAAGTACCCGTGTTTTCTGCAAAAATTACTACGATTAAAACTGTCGCAAAGTTTTTATTTCTGTTTTTTCCCTTATATGGGATGTATTGTAATAAACACTAAAAACACATTTTATTTATAAATATAAACAATTTTAAACTAATGATTTTTTAAATATTTTTCACATAAAGTGGTTATGAAATTATGTTTTTCTTCCAGATCTCAGCCATAGGAATTGATATGTATTTATGAATGACAAAATTAATGTTTCTAACTAAAATTTACGTTTTAAATAAAGAAACCTATTTATTGCTTCAATTATTTTCATGAAAGTATAAATATTAGAACTAGAAACATTAAGTTTTTCACTTAAAAATACACATTAATTCCTATGACAGAAACATAGGAGAAAAACACAACTTCATAACCACCTTACATAAAAAATATTTGAAAAATCGCCATTTTTAATTTTTTTTTATATTTATAAATAAAATGTGGTTTTAGGTAATTACGTTTATTACAATACATCCCACATCCCACATCCCAGAAAAACAAGAAATAAAAACTTTGCGACGGTTAATTGTAGTAATTTTTATCGGTTTGCAGTGACTGGAAAGGAAATCACATCATTTCTTTACACAACATGAGGTGAATCTCAATTTTTTTTCAAATAAATCTCAACTTAATCAATACAGGCTTAAAGCTTATTAAACTAAGAAGTTTTTCTAAAAGTATGGTAAATGTATTATTGTTAAAGAATGATTTAAAAAAATTTCAAATAATTGATGACTTTTTTAAACGAAACTTTGCTGTGTTTGCCAGCCCAGTAATCCTTTTTAAGTAGTTTTAACAATGATAACCTCTACTTTAGTTTAAATCAAATTTTGCCTAGTACTATGGAGCAGCATTTAGTTACTTAAATCAAATATTTTTTACGTTATCGTTTTCTATTAAACAAAAAACATGACTTGCTTAAAAAACACAAATCTTGAATTTCTTAATTTTCTGCTGAGAATCGGGTGATTGTTTAAATGAAATTTTTTGTATATCATGATGTCTACTATCAACTATTTAAATATTTCCCTCTATTTATGGGTCACCGTGTATATGGAACTAGGAAGTTACTTTATTGGTAACAAAATGAGATCAAACTCACTGTCATGCTTATTGTTAATTTGCATCTAGTTGACTAAATACATACACTGTACAATTGATTCAGTAAAGAAGTAAGTTTCGATTAAAGATACAAAAAGATTGGATTATACAATTTTAGAGTAGAAGATTTATCAGGTCTGATGGGGAAGAATAACTACCCCACTTCATGGAGTACACGAGGAGATGGAAGGAAGTGGTGTGTTTACAGACTGCACAATAGGGACAGAGTTTTCACCAGAGGGGAATGGGCAAACCAGGGGGGATATGGAGGAGCCGGAGCAGCAGTAGGGAGGAGATGGAAGGAGGAAAGTAGTTGGGACACAGATGGTTGATCGCCACCGTAACATAACTAGGACAAACATGGTGCAGTCCAATCAGGTGTGCAGTCATGTACCGGGTGCACCACAGAGTTCTTAGTTTTATTGCTCTCAAATATATACACATGTCCTTACCTGGGTCTACTAATAAAGAGCAATGAAACAAAGAGAGTTTCTATCAGTAACTCATGACAGGCATGAACCCCTTACACAATACCCCACTGCTGCTAAAAAACAAAAAAAAATCCAGAAATGGCTATAAATGATGAAGAAAAAAAAAGTTTTGATTTAAGTTTATTGAAATTAAAAAATACTACACAGATTTTTAAAAGCAAAAATCAATTTTCATTTAATAAAACTGAAAATGCTTACCGGTAACCCCAGATGCTCGTAGTCTCAAAAGGGTCATAATCTTACCTGTCAAATATAAAGTTTCATTAAAATTCGTATTATATCTGTGTACTTAAGTAATTAAAAAGTTATATATTATGGTAAAAATATATCATTGCTATAAAGCAGAATTATTTTTAAAATTTCTAATAGTTCATTGATAGTTTTGCGAATTATTTATATAAAAACTAAAATCAAAATATAAGATAAATAAGGAATGATAATAAAAAAAACTAAAATGTAATGATTACTGCAAGGTAATTAAAAAACAAATAAAGAAATCTAAGTACAATAATTATGAATTTTTTAATTGAAGCAAATAAATTTCAACAAAAATAAGCAGTGAAACAGTAATAAGAAAATTGCAAATATTGATTAATGAAAGAGGTGGTTTTAACATATGTTAATTTTTTTTCAGTTCCACCCGGTGTTTGGTACTCAGCCTAAAAAGTCAATTTTGAAGAAGACTAATTCATTTAATTTAAGAAATTACAGCCCACTTACTACACCCTCAGTGACTCCCTACACAACTGTTACTGGAGCAGAAAGCAGGTACAATAGAATATACTATATTTATATTTATAATATCGACTATCAATTGTTACATCAGAGAACTCTCGGTAATTGTTGTTATTTATATATATGGGTAATAGTCTGTTTTTTGCTAAGTGGCATGAGCATGTTGCATGAAATAGACATATTTTTTTACTAACTGAATATTTCATGTGTTTTTTATGGGATAAATTGTATTGGAGATAAAACCAATTTAAGCCATGCATTTTTATGCTTGAATGATGTATGATTGTTTATGTAAAACAGTTAATTTACTACCACTTTTGTTTGGTCATAAACATAATGTTTGTAAACATATTCAAAACTTTTTAATTGGTAAATCATCATTGATTTTAAATAAGATTAGTTCTTTTGTTTCTTACTTAGAATATTTAGCCTCATTGTACCGATTATAAAATGCTGTGCGCTACAGAGGTCCACCGTAATTCTAGCCATAGTCTCCCTTCCCAGTGTCATGGTAGCAAGGGTTATTTATCACATTTAGTTGTTTAGGTTTTCACGTTTCTATAAATGATAGAGATGATAATATATTCTTTTCCATTTCTAACCCAAAAATACTCTTAAATAAGAATGTTCATTGAAGAAATAGTAGAAGACAGCTTCTGCTCTTTTGCATCAACATGTCCTTTCCCAGATATTGCTTATACTTAATTTACTTATAAATGTATTGGGAAGGAGAAGTTTGCTTGTCATTAATTACATATGTCGTCGGCACCATGTTAAAGTAAAGAATGTGAGCCTATTTAACATTGCACATTCGTTACTTTAACATGGTGCCGACGATATGTAGTGACAGTATTGTAATACTCCATCCGAACTTATCATGTTTAAATTGAAGTAATGAAACAGTTACATAAATCATATCTGGGTAAATTTTATAAGACCCATCATGACAGTTAACTGGAAATGTACAAAGATTTGAGATTGTAACTTTAAGCTCTTGAAAAAAATGTAATATTGCTTGCCATCTTATTGGATTGATATAACTAACTTTTCATAATTACAATTAATCAGTTTGGAACAAAGTAAAAAACTTAAAAGAACTCAAGTTTTTTACTTTCAGAATGTGACCACAATGGCATATATATGTGTGGATTATGACTAATTTTACTCATAAGCTCATTATTTCTCAAGTTTTGAAAGTATTAATGAGATAAAGATGGTTCAAAAGCTAAATAAAATTAATTCTCCCTTGCTTATTTTTCTTTCTATTTTTACATAGTTACCAAGTAAAGCAGACATGCATTTTCATACTTAATAATATTAAGTAAATATGAATTTATTGAAACAGCATCGATATGTTTTGAAATATTTGTAAATTCTGTATTGTAATTATATTTTCTCGTTATGTTAAAGAAAATATATAAGTCTTTTGAACCATCCTTGTACATATTAACCATTTTTATTAAATTGGCTCTGATTATTTTGCATTACTGTTTGAAGTGAACACTGTTTTTTGATATGGCACCATCATTAAGCAGATATTAAAAAAAAAAAATTAAAAATAATAACAATAACTTATAAAAAACATTTTTGTTTCGCTTTATTTATTTTTTGTATTAATAACAGCATGTCAAATTTTCAATTTCTAGATCAGGTGGAGTTTGGATGGCGTTTCGGTAAGTCTCACTGAATATTTATTGTAGGTAGAAAGAATTGAATTATCTCAAATATCTCATAAAACCCATTGATTAGCTATATTATTATCAAACAATGATTATTTCTAAAAAAAATTTTATGATATTCATATTTGTGTATCTATGGTATTGAATGTTTGAAATGATTTTTTACATATTTAAGTGATATTTTGTTACAGTAGTATGAATAATACTTTACACTTAATACAATTTTTTTAACACTTGAACACATTTCTATGACTATTTTTTTCCAAAAGAATGTCATTTTATGTAAATATGAAATAATTTTCTTATATTATTATTGTTTATTTTTTCTTTTGTTAATTGGGTTTGAAAACTTTATGTACACCAGATAAAGCAGGACTGCCTATTATAAAAGTTACCAACATATTCTAGACAGAATGGGAAGGACGAGATTCACCATGTCTATTTTATTCCTAAATAAAATTCAATTTTCAATGTCAAAATTTAACTATTATCCTTAGCTATCAATTTCACTAAATAAATGAATTTTACTAATTCTAATTCAATATAAACGATATGAATGATGAACATCTGAATGATCATTATTCTTAAAATCATTTTGTAGAATGGTTAGTACTATCAATTTTTGTTCAATTTTTATTGCATGATTAAGGCAAAGCTTTAATGTTTTGAGTAACTTTTTTTTGTTTTAATTTCTAAATATGGTGCGACCAGATTGACTAGAAAATTTAAAAAATATAAATTCTAATAAAATTGTTCTTACAGGTTTTGTATCGTGGTTGTCCATATGCTGTAATGTCGTTACTTTAAATTTTAGTTAATGATAATTATGTGCAATATCCTACAAGTCTTAGCCAATTTTATTTAAAGGGTCAGAGCAATAAAAATGATAAGAGGACATTCACAGTGTTGGAGAAATAGTTGATTGTAGATACTGTTAGTAGGAGAATTGGATTAGGAGTTGCAGTCATTGAAATACTGAAAAGAATTTTTTGTACATCACTTATATGTCAATATATCACTTTGTATTTATTTATTTTTAGATAACATCATATTTTTCATTATATTTGTATCCTATATTTTATTGATAATTAGTTTTCTCTCTATTTCTTATTATAATTACATTGTTATCTTGTCTTTGCTTAGCCTTGATGGAGACCTAAAACTTAGCCAAAATGCGGTTACAAAGAAAATATGAAATATTTGTGTATTTCATTGACTGCGACTCCCAACCAACTTCTGCTACTTGGAGAATATTATTTTTATCTAAGTTGCATATCCTCAAGAACATTCTTGAATTTGGAGTAGGCAATGAACTCTAATTTGTATGATCTAAAAATTTCTTAGAATCTTTCCAAGATATTTTTAGATGCAAAAAAGATAACATTCTATATACATTATATAGTATATTCTATATACATTATATGGAAACAACTTATGTACATTAATTATTATCTAAGAATCTTTTTATTTCTAGGATACGCATGGCATTTGAAGCAATATTCCACAAGTCTACAACGCTACAAGATGTTGAGCCAAATGAAGACGAGGGCAGCCCCGAGCCAAGAGGCCTCAGTCCTCCTCCACCGTACCAACCTGTCAGTCTGCCGGCCAGTCCTGGTGTCAACAAGAAAGTTCAATTGGTAAATGTTTAATCCGCTCTTGCTTAAATTCTATCTATGAAACAAGTTTTGTTTAGAAAACCATTTATTATGGATTTTATTCTTTCAGCCTCGAGAACGAGTTATAGATATGTCACCCGAGGATCAGAAGGAATGGGAAGAGGAGGAACTGAGGGCAGGTGTCAGCTTCGCAGACTGCCAGATCGACCCAAGTCCATTTCAGCTCGTCGGTAGAACTTCTCTACTCAAGGCCCATTCTATATTTTCTCTAGTTGGCATAAATCATGCTTATGTAACCAACATTGGAAAATTAGTTGGTGTTGTAGCTCTCAAAGAGGTATCAATTCCTTTTTCAAACCACTTAAATTTGCATTTTAGCTTCATTAATTAATTATTTCATAAATGTTTCATTAAATTTAAAATTTTTATAATATGGCATTCCACCAATCGACAAAATATGCACAAATAAGTTAGAGGTGATTTTGGGTGAGATTAGGGCTTCTTGTTTTCAAAAGAAAAGAACCATCAGGTATCTTCAATGGAAAACCTAGGATGAAAAAATATGCAGCTTGAAATAGTTGAAATAAGCCATATCGCACAGAAATATACACATAAAATACAATGAATCTAAATTCAGTTAAATATAAATGTTATAAAAGATAATTTAATTTACTTATTTCCTGATGGAGCATAAAATGAGGAAGAATAAAACTTTAAAAATGAAACAGAGCAGAGAACAAAGCTATAAATATTCTTTTAAGTGGCTAAGCTTCTTTAAATAATAGATTTTTACATTATTTATCCTGCTATCTGTTATTTATTTTTTTTTTTCAATTACATTGTTATATTTGATGATATTGAAATTAATTGTTTATTCTTGTTCACTATATTTTTTAGTTGAGAAAGGCAATTGAGGATTCTAATGCAGGAATACCTCCAGGTTCACACCTGCAACAGGTTCAGCCACAAGCAGGCGATGGTACAAGTGTCACTGCACCTCTAGTCAATAATAACCCTCCCGAAATAAAAGTCAACAGTGTATAGCGACCAGGATCACTGTAGAATTTTCTTTATGAATTAAATTTTAAACATCTTGTATGTTAATATTCCATGGATAAAACGAACTAACAATAAATCTCGTTTTGGAATAGAAATATTGTATATTGAGAATGTTTGGTTGCGTTGAAAGCATCCCCAGACTATGTTGTTCTAAAACACTGATTCTAGGCAACAAATATTTAATTGTTGGACATTTCTATGTATATTACATGTCTGAGAGTACTCCTGTTGTAATGGAGCCATCTTGGAATTTTATAAACTAAGGTATGTTTCACTTGTAACAAAAATGTTTCAAGAAAATTTTAACATTGTTGTTCTAGAAATTAAATCAATTTATTTTTTGCTGCTGAAAATGAAACAGTATGTAAAATAATGTTACTGTAAATAAAACAATCTATTCATTTAGAGTGTAGTAGTAATCATTTTATAGATTGTAATGAAATATCTATTAAACCATAGATATGCTAATTATATTATTTTAGATTTAACACTCAATCGGTTGTATATTTCTTGTATCATGTTAGTTAATATAAAAAAATTATAAAGGCTACATGAAATATATAAATAGTGTTTTGTTCTAAATGATAATAAAACCATTTTAAGATTGATTGATAAGAATTATATTCAGTTGTATCTTGATAATGAAAATTGTGAGCTAGTTCTGCTCAATAGATTAAAAGATGGGACAAGTTTTAACTAATTCATTAAGTTCTTATTTATTTGTACACTACATTTTCATTATTTTTTGTAATTATAGGCTGCTGTAGATATTGTTTTAGCAATGTACTATTAATGTTTTAATTTATGTTATATTAGTGATGTAATGACATCTGTGATATTTGTATGTGGGCAATACTAGAAAAACTACGATAAGATAATTGAAAAAATAAAATTATATTTACAATTTTAATCTGTATTACGTGATAATCATAAACATTCATATTGTTTGTATTAAATGCTTTTCAGGAATTTAACTAAGTCTCCAGACCAAAAAAAAAATCATTTTTATTTATTCATTTTTCTATGTTTTGAATGTTAGTCTCTTTTCAAGACATTATTTTCTTATTTATTTTTGTTTTAATAAAAAAAAATTTCAATCTTTTAGAAAAAAAAACAAAAACATAATTTTAACATCCTAGGAACTTTATTTTTGTACTTATCTTTTTTACGGTTTTTTCATCATTACTAAACTGCCCTCCTTCTGTAACCTATTTATTTGATCTTGTCGGATTTCCTTTATTAACTGATTATGTTGTTTCCTAAACAATTTATATTCAAGAGATATTCCTCAAATAAATTATATTTATCAGAACATAAGGTGATGATGTTTAGTTTTTCTTAATTAGAGTCTGGGTTGTTGATATGGACATGGTTGTTATTCAGTATCACTTCTCAAAAATGGAACAATAAAACTGTAATTAATGTTTGCATACAAAAAAATATTTTTTTAAATTATCTGTCACTGAAGAAGAAGAATTCCTGCTACCATACCTTGGAAATTTATTTTGAGATCTCAGTCATTACCTCTACTTTCTGCTTCTATCTCATTGCTCTAACTCTTATGAATGGCTGTCAGTTTGTTTTTTTTTTGGTTTTTTTTATGGTATACTGGTTCGTCATATCTCTGAATTAATTAATAAAATCATACTTCTTGAGGATTTTGCCTGTTTTAATTGTAAGGCTGGTTTTGGGCTGGAACCCCAACCGACCCATATTATTGAATTCTTTTTCTGTTTGTAAAAGCATCATTACTATTATTCTAAGGACATTTTGTTTTTATTCTCAAACTTTCAATTAATCTTCATTTGGCAACATATGTTTATTCAAAGACTTAATTCTTTATGTTTCTATTTTCTTCTGGCTCAGTTCAGAGTTGTACATGTCATGTTGGTGAAAGTACTTTTCTTCTGTCTTGCTTAACCTCGTCCCAATCTGGTTTTCTCTACTTTTTTTTTTAAATTAGTTTAGTCAACCATGTTCTCAATTCGAAGAGCTACCTTTAACCTTGTATTTTGTGACACTTTAGCGGAATTAGGGGGCATACATTATGGCCTCAGATATCTTCCTGCTCTTTCCAGTTTCTAGTCCATATTCAATTTAATTTTGGACCTCTAATTAACTTAAAATTGAAATCATAAGTCTGAAGCTTTAACTCACTTATTTTATGTCAGATGTCACTTTGAATAATGAGTCTCAGTCTTGTCAGAATGTGACCATTCACCATTAATACCATTGTTTGGACCTTTGGTTTGTTAATGTTATTTGGATGTGATACCATTTTAACTTCTGTTTCATCATACATTCAAATGAGTTTATCATTAACATAGCCTGTTAAATGTTTCAAAGTAAGAGAATATAAAATTGGGATGAGTAATGATGGGTCAGGTGTTTTTATGTGTTAAAAAAAACTCAGATATTTGTTACCTTGAAAAAACTTTCTATGCTCCCTTCTTTTTAATCTTAATTCAATTTATCCAATTTTGATAAGATGAATTGTTGATATTCCTGAAACATTCCTTTTGCTAAAACTATTACAGACTAAAACTATTTAGTCTCATCACAGAAGTTTAAAGGAAGGTGCAAAGGGGTCATTTGCCAAGGGTAGAATTTAGAAGGAGGTCAATGTAAAGTGAAATTTTATGTTTAGGTCTTTATTTAACCATTAGAGTGAGTTAATGTCATGATATGATGATGATATTTATCTCAAAATATATTACCTAAAACTGTTGATTATAATGGAGAGGTATTTAAAAAGAGGGGCAGAAAAATTAAGCTCATCCTGTCTATATTCTTTTCTTGAGCTGCTTTGGGTATACTCGGCTCAAAATAATTTGCCCCAAAAGATTGGGAAATTTTAAAAATTTAATTTTTTTCAAGTAGAGGATCTCTCCTTTTTTTACTATTACTTTTTTCATAATTTTGTTTCTTATAATTTCTGGTATTTTATTTTTAATTGTTTCTACGTTTTAACGGAGATAGCTGCTCTATTTGGCTCTTTTCTGGCTACCTCCATGTTTTTGTCTCCTGCATGTATAATAATAATTATTTATTATTATTATTTATCATATGATTATTATGATAAACCGTAACTTCTGAATTTTTAAACCACTCATAGAGAGTCTGTGTATCATTTACAGATTGTTTAATTAATTTAAACTATTATGGCTAATGGATGAAATCAGATAGTTTGATGTTATGTTAAATTTCTTGAATGATTTCTTATAGAGAAATATTGTTGAATAATTAGATATAATACTCATATCAGATGATATATTGTTATTGTGAATGCGAGCTTATTATGTTTTTACTGATATTAGGATTATGTGACTTGATAATGAAATTGGTTTATATGTAATCTATAAAAAATCAAAAACTTATTGAAATTGTTTCTTCCTAGTCTTCATGCCTTTATAATGAAAATTTTGAAACATGTGATAATGATAAGATTAATGTTTAATTTTACTATGAAATATTAAAGGATGAATTGTTCCATTCATTTTTGTTCTTTTTTAAAAGACTGTAAATATGTTTTAAAATGTATAGATATTATTACTGTTTCAATATGTTTTTTTGAAATAAATATTACATAATTATAGCTGTTATTTTATTAAATATATTGTATATCCTGAATTAATTTGAGTCTAAGAGTCCATCCAACTTGCATTATAAGGATGTCATCAAATCTATTTCCCATAAAAACTAGTACTAATTTCCATCATTCATAATCATCTCTATTAGTTTTGGTTTTTCTATTTACTTGGGTTATAAGGTATTTAATGGCACAACAGCCCCATTGTATTGTATGCTGATATAGAATAAAATAAGTTTAATAAATATTTATTTTTAAATCCTAACACACTAGGCCAATTAAATAATTTATTCTTTCTTTTAATGACACTAAAGACAGATGTGGACATTGGCCTCCTCACTGAGCCTACGCCATGTGCTCTTCTGCAGCCGCTCTCCAATTTCAAAGACCTAAATAACCTGAGCATCCTTCATGACTGTGTCATCTCAGCTCAGCCTTGGCCTTATATTATTCCTAATATTTGAATAATTAAATAATAATAAAGCTCATTAGCCATTTCTGATCTAAGAAACCTAGTTTTACAGACATCGGAAAATGTTTCAATATAAGATGTTAATATTAATCTATTTTCATAATTTCTGTTGACCTATTGTTTATAATATGATAATAGAATGATGATGTTTATAACATAATAATAGAATGTAATGATATTTTTTATAATGTTTTAACAAATTTAAAATTCTGCGTTAACATATTAAACCACTAAGAGTCTTTAATTGTTTTCATCTTTGTTTACCTTTTACCAGTTATTTACAAAATAGTTGAATTTTGAAAAAATCAAGAAGATTTTGGTTAGTAATACAGTCAAGAATCAAATATCAAACCATATTAATAATAAAAACATCCAATCTGATCACAAAAATCGTACTTTATTTATTTTTCCACATGAACGTATCAGTCCTTAGGCCATTTTCAAGGGAAAGCCATTTTGTATTATTAATAATAAAGTGAAATTCTAACCTACAAGATTTCATTTTATTTATTAATCAAACAATATGTTCTGGTATGTTTTATTTCTTGGCCCATCCCATGGTTATCAGCTTCAAATGTACAAAGAATATAAAATATGTCATTGATGAGAATGTATTTCATAAAACTTTTTCAATCTGTGTTGTAATAAATGTATCAAAAAGTTATATTATAAATAATGCTTTTAAAGATCCTGAACTAAACTCCAAAAAGACCATAAAATTCCAATATTCTAATAATAGCAAACACAATAAAGAATTTAGTATGGCAAAATGAAACTTGGTATTATTACTATATTATTAGTTCCTGACTTACAATACACTGTCTTTGATTAGTTAATTTCTTGAAAAGATGCATTTTCTCAAGGTGCACATATTGTCAATGACATTCCTCATAACATAGTTCCGAAGAGTTTAGTATGAATTCAATAATAGAAATATTTTAGAAACATTATAAACATACAATTGTATTGTGTTGAAATCATAAAGAAAAGGTAGGTTTATTTTAATAACATGACATTGAAGAACTATAAGAAAACCTGCATTCTGGTATTTTGGAATATATTCTAAAACTTATAAACAATAAATAAATAGGGAGGGAAATTTTAATTGATAATATTTCAGGGGAAAAATTGTATTTCATTGATCTTTGATTATTTATAGCCTGTAGCGGATTTATAATTCAATTTTTATGGGGAGGACAATTTTTAAAAAATAATAAATTAAATAAATTGTTATTACAGAAACAATAATGCTTTTTGGGCTAAAATGTTTAAATTTTTACTTGAATTGGGTTAGGGGGCGAGGTGGCCAAGTGGGATAACGCATGTGCTCTGCACCCTGTTGCCTAGCAACCTAATGAAAGATAATAGGATCAAATAAAATTTTAAAAAATTGAATTGGGTCATAATTTAAGAAGAGTTCCCCTTGTATCTATCAATGTTAATAACAGCTATTTTGTTTTCTTTTTAAATTATTAGATCTTGTCAGACAATCTACTGATTATCAATGATGTATTAGACAGGTGTAAATATAAAAAATATTAAGGTAAATTGACAGAAAATAAAATTCCTGTAGGTTAAACAAGAAGGATGTAAACTATTTATTTGAAACTAAATGTAATTGGACCGCCATTTTGAAATTTACATCTTTAATATCCTACGAACAATGGTAAGTTCTTAAAATCAGTGCTGATATCATTAATGAGTTGCTGAACTCAGGGTTGAGGACAAAAAAACGGCCCCCAAGTAAAAATTTCTAAATTCGTTTTTGTGTTTTAATAGCCCCCTTAAATAGTTACAGAGTTCTCTGGTATTAAAAAAAAATTCTATTGTTTAAAATACCACGCAAAGTTACGAAAAACTGAAATCCCGTTTTGTGCAATTTACGAGTCTTATAACTCCTTCAATATTAATTTTACAGCTAAACTCCAAAGGGATAATTGTAAAAACTACTTGGGGGCAATCAAAACTCTAAAAAAAAATCCAAAAAATACCTACCCCAAAAAGCGGCCCCCAAAGTGAAAATTTCTAAATTATTTTTTGAGTTCTAATAGCCTCCCAAATAGATCCAGAGTTCTCTGGTATTCAAAAATAATTTCAATTGTTTAAACTACCAAAAATACCACGCAAAGTTACGAAAAACTGAAATCCTGTTTTGTGCAACTTATAAGACTTATAACTCTTTAATTATTAATTTTAGAACTAAAGTTCATTGAGATAATTATTAAAACTCCTTGGGGGGCTATCAAAACTAAAAAAAAACAAAAAAAAACAACGAATTACATCTCCAAAAGCCTCCCAAAATCTTAGGAGGGCCATAGGAAAACTCAAGAGAACTTCTGAAATCCAAAAAAAATTGTTTACCAAAATTTTGATAGAACGTTTACCAAGTCCAATGGGTAAAAATTTATCTCGAAAAAAGATATTCTGATTGTGTTCTAATAGCTCCTCAGCGAGAAAAACCAATAATAATAAGTGTGTTTTAATCTAGGATGCAAAACAAAAAAGTTTTCGAGTATAAAAGAAAAGAAAATATTTTTTTAAACTTGCGAGGCTTATATCTTTTTTTTGGTCAACTTTATAGCAAAAGTTCATTATATTAATTTTTATAACTCTTAGCAGGGCAATAGGAAAACTCAACAGAACCCCACAAATCCAAAAAAAAATTAGTCCGAATAGTGAAAATTTATCTCGGAAAAAAATTATTATGGTTTTTGATTTAATAGCTCCTCGGCGAGTACAAAGGATAATTATTGGATAGTTTTAATTTAGGATGCGAAACGAAAAAAAGATATAAGCCTCGTAAGTTGCAAAAAAATATTTTCGATACTTTGATGCTCGAAAACTTTTTCGTTTCGCATCATATATTAAAACACACCAATAATTATCATTTGTACTCGCTGAGGAGCTATTTAAACAACAATTATAATAATGTTTTTCCAAGATAAATTTTCACCCTTCGGACTTATTAATTGTTCCATCAAAATTTTGGTCGAAAATGTTTTTTTGGCTTTCAGGAGTTCTGTTGAGTTTTCTTATAGCCCTCCTTAGAGTTATAAAAATTAATTTAATGATCCTTTGCCCTAAAGTTGACCAAAAAAAAGATATAAGCCTCGCAAGTTGCAAAAAGATATTTTATATTCTTTAAGTGGTATATTCAGTGGTTTAAACAATAGAATTATTTTTTAAAGTATTAGAGAACTCTAGAACTAATAGTGGGGCTATCAAAACTCCTAAAATATTTAAGAAAATTTTATTTTGGGAGGCTTTGGAGAAATCATTCTTTCTTTTTATTAAATTTTTGATAGCCCTCCAAGGAGTTTTAATAATTATGTCAATGAAATTTAGTTCTAAAATTATTAACTAAAGAGTTATAAGACTCGTAAGTTGCACAAAACGGGATTTCAGTTTTTCGTAACTTTGCGTGGTATTTTAGTTGGTTTAAACAATAGAACTATTTCTAAGAAGTATAGGAAACTCTAAAACTCTTAGGGGGCTATAAGAACTCTCAAAAGTTTTTTAAAAAATTGTTGATGGGGGCCAACTTCACAGGGGCGTGCTGACGTCTTTGATGATCATCGGAAATCCATCAATACATTGGCGCCGGGTTCAAGAATTTGACCAATTAGAAGGCCCAATTTAATTTTTATTTTTCATATTGAAAAACAAATATATTTCGATGTATAAGAACGCCATATTTGGTCGAGCATTTTGAATTTTATACTTCTGTTACATGATATAGTACCAGAAGCCTTTTTTCAATTAAAAAAATATTTTACGTAGTATATTAAATATTTTTTTAAATTTTAGTTATCACATTACGCTTTCAGGGATCCCTTTGATGACACTTTCAAATATTTTTACATGCACTAAGTTTCTATTCTGACATTTATGTGTTTGCGAGTGTTATGAATGAACCTAGGATCCTAAACTCTTTTTAATAAATGTTTAATACGGACGAATGAATAGTATATTATTAGAGTTCAAAGTTTATTTCTATATTTGATTGTTGTTAGATTGGTTTTACCATCAAATAGCGTAGAGGACAACAAGGAATTAAACTGTGAACCCACATCCTTCCATGCAGCATTAGAATTATTTATGAGCATTGAACTGTAGCAAAGTTCACGCTGTAGCTAATGCCAGTAAAACTTCTGTTTCAAAAAGAATCTTATAAAGAATTAAATTTTATTTCTAATTTCTAAAGTGTTTTTACTTTATTTCATAATATTTCTTATCAGGAGACTTATATCTAAGCTTCAGTGCTACACTGATTATTGATGAACGTTTTAAAAATTATTTAGTATTTAACAGTTAAGTTAGTATTTTATTTATTATTAAGAGCATAAGGACGTCTGAATTCTGAAATAATGAAAAATTCGTTTGAAAATTTTTGATTTTTTTAAAAAATTATAACTTGTTTTTTTTTTTAAATTATAACTTGATATTTTAATTAAAAAAATATACATATTCGTATCTAAATTCGAATGAATTATGTCTAAAAATTTAAAAATTGTGTGCGGTATTCCTTGAAAACATTTCTGGTTAAAATTCTTCACTGGGTGTAATTTAAGTTGTTTTTATACTATTACCTCGGGATATAATTTGGCTCTTTTACAAAAATTTAAATGGAAACTGTAATTTAATAAGAAAAACTATTTTACGGGTAGTTAATAATATAATCCAATTTTTTTTTTAGTTTAAAATAAGATCTAAATCCAACTTTAGTTTGATTCTTACGAAATATAGTGATGAACCTCTTGTATTCACTATGAATAGTAATTTCATAAATATGTCTTGAAAGAGTAACATAAAATCTTTCTTTGCTATATTAATGATAGACCTCCAAAACAAAAATTGTATTAATATTATCGTATGAACTAATAAAATGAAAAACTATAATGAAATATTTTTAATAAAAGTAATGTGCAATGTCCAATAACGTGGTCACCATTGAAAATCCGGTTAAACTCGTTTGAAAAACTTAGAAAAATGTACTACCTTATAGCTTAGAAAAATATATAGCTAAGATTTAAATATATATTTTTAGATTTTTATATTTAATATTTAACTATGTCCTGTTTTGATTTCGGCATCAAATAGGGTAAATTTGATATTTCAAGACTTGTTTTATAATTTTAAAAAATATTGTTAGTCTTTTTACATCCTGACTATATCTTCATCATAGAACTAAAAATTAATAAAGCTCTGAACTTCGTAACACTGGCGTTGAGTATTTTTTAAATTTTAGAAGCAGTAACATTTTATGTTTGGAACTTCAAATTTAAAAACACTTTCGAGCACTAACGCTTAATGTGTTATGAACAATAAAATAATTCTTTATGAAAAAATTTTATAACACGCAGTTACATATTACAACCATTAAAAAAAAAAAAAGTTCTTTCTTTAATGGTATCAAAATAAGTTTTTGTTCAAATTTTTAAACTCTCAATTTATCTTCACACATTTTAAAATTTTCTTCGTTTCCAACAGAAATGCCTATAAGGGGGTTGCATGGCGCATATTGCGCTATCAAAATTTTGGAGGAGCCCATTGTAATAGGGTTTTGAATTTTTGAGGGAGTACATTTAACGGAGTTGTGAGTTTTCGGAGAAAATAAGGAAAAAACAGGGAGCAGACCATAGTAAAAGTAAATTGTTTATAAATTACAATTTTTATAGTTATACTTTATTTTGCACCGCTTTTAAGAAGAGAAGGGTAATGAAATTTCTTGGTGGGGGAGTGCTAGTAGTCTTTAAAACTGGAATTTTGAAAACTATTTTAAACTTTTAAATATGCAAGTTATATAAGATTCGAAAATATAATATAAATGTATAATATAATATTCAAATATTTTGATCAATAAGGCTGTAAATTTTTATTTGAAACTTTACTGACTGTCCTCATTATTACGATTTTCAAATTATTATAGGTTGTGTGAAATTTTTTTTGTTCAAATTAAACTCAGATTTGTAAAGGTTTTTAACCGTTTGTTGAATATATACTTGCGAGCAGCTATACCGTCAGTTTTTCTTTACCCCTTGTTAAGTTCGTTAGTAAATTCAGGATAATATACATAATAAAGACCCATGGAACCGAAGGGCTCAACATGATCGAGAATGTTCGAAGCAGCCCCGGAACCTATAAAAGGCCGAAGATTCCAGCGCTCGGCGTCAGTTGATAACCGCACGGAGTAGCGATTGCAGCCTTTTGATCAAGCACTATTATAATGGTAAGCTCCAATGATCATTTATATTCAAAGTATAAATAATTTATTTACTCCTCTATGTACATATACGTGTCCATAAATTAAATTGAGTACAGTTAAAAAAAACAAAAACACCTATTCCGATTAGATAAATGACGCATGTTAACAATTAAACAAACTAATTTAAAACTGATTGGGAATCAATCAAAATTTATATAAACTTAGCAGTTTTTTTATTACATTTTTTTTTAAATACACGTGTATACCATTTTATAATAATACAAGTCTGGTTATTTACATGTATTTTCTTAATTTATAGATAATTTTTGCTATGCATTTCTTTTAAAAATTATTTGCTTAATTTTTCCATATTATTTCGTGAATGAAATATAAAAATATCAGAATTATTATTAAGAAAATCATAAGTTTTGTATTGCAAAATATAAACAGAGTATTTTTTTATAAATTGATAGTTGCCTATTAAGTTTAAGTTTTGCTAAAAGAGTAACGACCGATGAATCGCATTTACAATCCTTTAATCCTTGCTTTAAACACTTTAGGACTTTGGAAATGAAAATTTAAATAATAAGACAGAAAATGTCATGAAATATATCACTAATTCATGAACAATAGATGCTGCTAATTAATAATTAATTCAAAAAGACGTTATTAATATAAATTTATGAATTAATCAATTTTTACTTTCACTTACCTATATATAAAAAATTTATAGTAAGGGTAAGTATTGCGATCGTGAAAATTTTCGAATCTGAGTTTTCAACGGAAATACATGTTTTGAGGTCTCCTGAGTCCAAATAACCAAGTCCTGCAAAATGATCTGTGTGTGTATGAGACAGCTCTAACTCAAAAACGAAAAGTCGTAAAAAAGTGAAAATCCAAGCGGGAGTATTGGGGTAACAAGATCAGAAAGCCTTACAATTATATCAAAATGTAATTTGCATTTTGAAACTTAGATAAATTCAATCACAAAGTTCATTTACAGTTGCTTTACACTTAATTTCTGGATAGGTTTTTTTGAAAAAATGAGGTTTTTTGTTCCGATCAATCATTGAAGGAGATTTTAAATAATGTACTTTTTATATCATTATAATATTAGATTTTTCAAGGCTTTAGTGATGAAAAATCAACCCACCATCTAATTATTGTAGGAGTTATATAAAGAGAAGTGATGAAAGCATATGTACCTTTATCAGAAAAGCCTTTATAAATTATATGAATCATATTTTGTATTAGTTGAACTTGAATTGTTTGCAACTTAAGTATTCTTTGTCCAGGTTACAGGAAAGAGTGGTAGTGTGCAACTGCATCTTATTCCAGCACCCAGAGGGACTGGCATTGTAGGTGTCCCTGTACCTAAGAAGCTCCATTACTTTTCAGTAGTATAAACTCCATGAAAAGTAAAGTGAAAAACTCGATTATAATCCTACGAAGTCTGAGAGACCCAATGTCTACGAACAGAAAATACTTTGCAGGATACATAGGCCAATTAGAGAAAATGGCACGTAGCAATTAAGGAAGAATTGTGAGTTTCATGCAATGTATGGGAGACCATACCTGGTATCCTTTGTGAAAAAACCCACCTCAAATGGCTCAGATATGGAAAAACCAGAGGGAACGATATAGAAGAAGACCAAGAGTGATTGTTTTATAACGTCGAGGAAGACCTCAAGTTGCTTGGACTGAGGAGATGAAGGACATGAGCAAAATATAGGAATGACTGGCTTAAAGTCTTTGAGAAGGCCAGGCCCTTATAAGACCGTAACACTCAACAGTAAGTAATCCTACAAAGTTAAAATTCCACCGTTCATATGAGCGTCAAAGGTCGAGAAATTACTGTATGTAAGAAAAAAATAACAGTTAGTTAATTATTATAGACCACTTAGAATTGCAGACAGCACAACTACTCAAGCAACAATGCCAACCCTCCAATATGGTTCTCCCCTATCAGCGTACCAACCTGCCTCCAAATGGGTCTAATTAGTCCCAAGTTCCCATTTCCATGCAACCATTCGATTTCATCAATACAATTTAGTGTTTTACGTGAGTAGTAAAGTTAGGGAAACATCTTTTCAATTAAATAAATTATTTAATTGCCATTACCTTTAGGCATTCATACCATCCTCACATGATTTGGTGGTTTTAATAGGGTTGACAACTACTCTAATACTAATATAGATAAATAAATAAATAATAAATTATCATATACAAAACTCTATGCATTAGCGGTAATATAGTCCTGCATTAGTTTCTTCCCCTTATATATAAAATTTTATTAATATATTTATTTATTTTATTTATATATATATAAAATTTTATTAATATATTTATTTATATATATAAAATTTTATTAAAATATTTATTTTATTTTATTTATTTATTTATTAATATATATATATAATTTATTAATATACATACAAATATATATATATATATATATATATATATATATATATATATATATATATATATATATATATATATATATATATATATTAATAAACTATTAAGAGCTAACCTTGTAATTAAAATTACTTTAATTACAAGGTTAGCCCTGATCATTATAAACATAGGTTAGAAAAGTTAATTTGGGAAAAATAAATTAATATTCTAATAAAAGTTCATTTATTATTTGTCTCTTGATAGATTACATTATCATGATAGACAATAATCATTCATCAACAGGAAGAGCTTTGGCATTATGGTTCCGCAGCAGATGATCCGAAAATTCTGCGTACGGTGCCCTAGACAATGGAACATCACGCCAGAGATCAGGCGTCAGATAACCATATGTCTTTGATATGGCTTCAAACGTAGCTTTTGCTAGAAACAAAAAAAAAAAATTAATATACTATCCTTTTGGATTTTTCCTGTATTTTCAGTGCAAACTTGATTTGCAAATAATTTTAATACTCTATAATATTTATCCCATAAATCAACAATGCAATGATTAACAAATTCTTTAAAACTTATTAAGTTATGTATAATATTCTTTACATAGTAAGAAGATATTAACAATTGTAGATTTTATTTTTATTTTAAGTAAATTCTATTCTTTTGACCATGGGCAAAATTTATTCATAATATATGATTTTACTTATGTAATATTTTTAATAACAGAATGCATGTAAATTGTGATCTTTCTGCTATTATGAGTCCACGGTTGCTCTTCAGATAGAAAGTGCTGATTTGATTTTGATGAAACATTTTTCTTTTGTTCCATAAGGTTTTACAACATTCTTAACCTTTTTGCTTGCAAATATCAGGTGAATTTAAAAATATGCTATGAATACAACCTTTGACGCTCATATGAATGGTGGAAGCTTAACTTGGTAGAATTACTTACTTATCGTTGAGTGTTACGGCCCTATAAGGGCCTGAGTCTTCTTAAGGACTTTATGCCAGTCATTACTATCTTTTGCTCATGTACTTCATCTAATTATTCCAAGCAACTTGAGGTCTTCCTCGATGTTATCCAACAATCTCACTCTTGGTCTTCTTCTGTACGTTCCCTCTGATTTTTCCATACAACAGGTGTCTTGATATCCTAGTTTCTAGCATCCTTATACTTAGCATTGTCTATGTATCCTGCAAAGTATTTTCTGTTCGTAGACATTGGATCTCTCAGACTTCAGACCAAAGTTTCCAAGCGTGCCAGTTGATCCTCTGGTAGATGTATAATAATCTTCAATATCTGCGATCTGTAGAAGCTTCTTAGGTACTGGAGCACCTATCTTTGCTAAGCTCTCTGTCATTCCAGTCAGGCATGGGTATTGGGGTAAGAAGATCGGAAAGCCTCACACTGTAACTTGCAAGGTAAATTATTCAATTGGCTATTTAATCTCTGAACCTTACAATTATATCAAAATGTAATTTGTATTTTGAAACTTAGATAAATTCAATCAGAAAGTTCATTTACTGTTGCTTTACACTTAATCTCTGGATAAAATTATGTTTTTTGTTCCGATCATACATTGAAAGAGATTTTAAATAATGTACTTATAAATTCTATATCATTACAATATTACATTTTTCAAGGCTTTAGTCATGAAAAATCAACTCACTATCTAATTATGGTATGAGATATATAAAGAGAAGTGATTAAAGTATATCTGGAAAGCCTTTATAAATTAAAAGAATCATATTTTGTATTAGTTGAACTTGAATTGTTTGCAACTTAAGTATTCTTTGTCCAGGTTACAGGAAAGTGTGGTAGTGTGCAAGTGCGTCTTATTCCAGCACCCAGAGGAACTGGCATTGTAGGTGCCCCTGTACCCAAGAAGCTTCTGCAGATGGCAGGTATTGAAGATTGTTATACATCTGCCACAGGATCAACTGGCACTCTTGGAAACTTTGGTAAGTACAGTTCACTGCTTGATTTTGATTTATTTTATATGCTTATTTTCAGTAGTATTAACTCCATGAAAATTAAAGTGAAATTACTCGATTATAATCCTACGAAGTCTGAGATACTCAATGTCTGTGAACGGAAAATACTCTGCAGGATAGATAGGCCAATTAGAGAAAATGGCACCTGGCAATTCAGGAAGAATTGTGAGTTTCATGCAATGTATGGGAGGCCAAACCTGGTATCCTTTGTGAAAAAAACCACCTCAAATGTCCCAGATAAGTAAGTAATCCTACCAAGTTAAGCTTCTAACATTCATATGAGCGTCAAAGCTTGTATTCGTGGCATATTTTTAAATTCACCTGATTGCCAGCAAAAAGGTTAAGAATATTGTAAAACCTAATGGAACAACAGAAAAATGTTTCATCAAAATCAAATCAGCCCTTTCGATCTAAAGAGCAACAACCATGGATTCATAATAGTAGAAGGATCACAACTTACATGCATTCTGTTATTTAAAATATTACATAAATAAAATTATATATTATGAATAAATTTTCCTCATGGCCAAAAGAATAGAAATTACTTAAAGTAAAAAAAAATTCTATAATCGTTAAACTGCAGATAAGCTTTTTATATTATATTCATTTTTCTTTTGTGTACAAATAGGTTTCAGATTTTTTGAACAGTAATGAGAGTTAAATTTTAACTTTTGTGGTTTCTACTATATGATTTTTTTTTCTCAGGATGGTTTAGAAGCATCTGAACTCAACCTTTTTCACAAATTATTATGGAATTATTTGTTAAAAGAGATCCTCAAGCATCTTTTATCTAAAGACTGTTTCTATCATTCAATTTAACTTTTATTTTTAAAATTCCCTTTTATGAGAAGTTGCATGATACTTTTTATATCAGCCCAGGACTTCTTGTAGCTGGTGAGAAGTTGACTTTTATTATATTGAGATTGTGAATTCTTTACTTTTTCAAATTATTTTAATCATCGTCTGAGCTATGATGATAATTTTGTTCAAACTTTTGCGGTTTCCATCAGAGGAGTTGATTTCCTAGGATGGTTAAAAGGGTCTGAGCTCAGTTGTCAGAAATTTATTGTAAAACTATTTATCGGTAAAAGATTATGTAAGACTTCATTGTTATTTTTCTTTTATTCATTGTCTTCTTACTATGTAAAGAACATTATATATAACTTTATAAGTTTTAAAGAATTTGTTAATCATTGCATTGTTGATTTGTGGGATAAATATTATAGAATATTAAAATTATTTGCAAATCAAGTTTGCACTGAAAATACAGGAAAAATCCAAAAGGATAGTATATTAATTTTTTTTTTTGTTTCTAGCAAAAGCTACGTTTGAAGCCATAGCAAAGACATATGGTTATCTGACGCCTGATCTCTGGCGTGATGTGCCATTGTCTAGGGCACCATATGCAGAATTTTCGGATCATCTGCTGTGGAACCATAATGCCAAAGCTCTTTCTCTTAATGAATGATTATTGTCTATCATGATAATGTAATCTATCAAGAGACAAATAATAAATGAACTTTTATTAGAATATTAATTTATTTTTCCCAAATTAACTTTTTTAACTTATATTTATAATGCTCAGGGCTAACCTTGAAATTAAAGTATACTTGATTGTTCTTCAGGAAGCTAGAAATATAATTTCAACTATTTCAGGTTACTTTAATGGATTCTATTGTGGTAAATATTAATTTTTTTTTATATGTATATAATATAAAGGAAAGCTACTAATGCTGGACTATATTACCGCGAAGGCATAGAGTAGTGTATATGGTAATATAAGTTGAGATTTTCCTATGAACAAAGATGTTGCAAAACAACATGCATGAAACTGGAAAGCAGTTGTCCAAAATAAGAAAAGGTGGAGAAGGCCTTATTTATTTTTTTATTCTTAATATTATTATTTAAAATAATTAAATAACATTCTCCAATATTCTTCTGTTTTTTTTTTACAATGGTAATATCTTTTTATAATACAATAAACTTTTCCCCAAGGAAATTAAAGCCTTCTAAATTTATTCAATTTATTTTATCGTAATAACTTTTCGAGCCTGTTGGCTCATTTTCTAATTTTTCTTATTTTTTTCTGTCTGCATATTTCCAAAAACTGACTGTTAGTTTATCCTTAATGAAACTAAATATACTTATACTTAAACTACTTATCCTTAATGAATTCCTGTTGCCAGTCTAAGCAATAGAGAATATAATAAGGTGTAATGTTCAAATTAAAATGTCAGAGTTTATTATCAATCCAAATTTTATTTTAAAACAAATATCTATATGTTTTTATGAAAAAATTAGTATTAATATTGAAAAGCAAAAATTATAAGAACATGATGTTTGGAAATATAAATAAAGAAAAAAAAGAAAAGATAAATAAGGAAAAAAACCAAAGATGAATAAGAAAACAAACCAACTGGATTGAAATGTTGTTCAAGATAAAACAACATGATAAAAAAGTTTTTAGTATAATGAAATTCTCCTTCTAAGATGAAAGAGTATTTACAGCTCTGCATGTCTGATGTACGCAGCAAAATTACTATCCCATAACAACCGTTTTATAGTGTAATTGTTATTAATCGTTTTAATTATGTAGTTATATTCTCAAAACTTACTAAAGAAAAAAAATTAATAAAATATTTCCTTTACTGCACTGTGACTAGAAGTTACTGTAAAAGTGACAGGGCAGAGTGAAGTAAAGTGGTATGCCGCAATATGGGAAACCCTAGGTCCTGGCAGAGGAAGGTTGTCATCTTTGAGAAAAGGAAACTTCTTGTGCCAAACCATTAACAGAACCAGGTTTGCTCCTCAGTGTGAGAAATCAGTATTATACAGTTTGGCTACCTCCCATCATACTTAATTAATAAACTAACTAAAAAATAAACTAACCATCAGTTTTTGGAAATATGCAGACAGAAAAAAATAAGAAAAACTAGAAAATGAGCCAACAGGCTCGAAAAGTTATTACGATAAAATAAATTGAATAAATTTAGAAGGCTTTAATTCCCTTGGGGAAAAGTTTATTGTATTATAAAAAGATATTACCATTGTAAAAAAAAAAACAGAAGAATATTAGAGAATGTTATTTAATTATTTTAAATAACAATATTAAGAATAAAAAAATAAAAAAAATTATTGAACCATTTTACACTAGATCTGGGATTTCATCCATTTGTGGATTAAATTGAACATGCCATTATTAAAATGAATTTACTGTGAAATCTGCACTAGTACCATAATAATATTATCAATACTTTTTCATAAAAAAACATATCTCTTTTATAGTTGATTTGTTCAACTATTAGTCCATTCAATGAACGATTATAGAGGAAAATGAAAGTAATCCTATTTATGAGGTTCAAGACATTGTTGGGACAAATTTAGAGTTCCCACTCCTAGGTAGTGAGCCAAATGTGGGGGAGGGAGAGGGTAACCAAAATGTCACTTTTTTTTATTTGCTGGTTGTATCATGGAAACCATGCTCCTAGTGATAAAGACATTCTATAAAAAGTTAAACTGAAGATTTGCAACAATATTGACCAGTAGCGGAACCAGGATTTAATTTTTGGTGGGGGAGGCTTCAGCCCAAAACATATATTTTTAATTTATATAATGCTAATTACTTCGGAAAAAATAGAAAGAAACTAACAACCTATAAGAAATGGTGTTTAAGTGATTCATGAAGTCCAATTAAATGTAATTACATGAATAATAACACTTTTAGACATAATTTTTTAATATTTTTTCCATAAGATATGGTAATGTTTTACAATTTGGGGGGAGGGGGGTGAGGGGGAGGGTGGAGGAGCTTCAGCCTGAAAGCTCCCGTCCCCTCCCGTAGATCAGCCCCTGATATTGAAGATTTTCGTTTTTAGACTATCTTGCAGTTTCTGAGATGTCCGTGCTAAATTGCCAATTTAAAAAATAACAAAACTCAGGCAAGGGGAGATGAGAAAGACTAGGTGGGACAGCTGTCCCCTTCTAAAAACATATAAAATATTAAAAATAAAATATCAACAGATATAAAAAATAATTTTTATGTTTGATATCGACTTTTATGTTTTTTAGTATTTCAACATCTTTAAAGAAACTAATTACGAAAAAAGGACACCCTCTACTTGAAAAAATTAACGAAAATGTTCCTCCCCATTCGAGGCAAAATCTTTTTAGTTCGTTAAGTGGTAGGACATGAAATCAAATTTGTTCCGCGATGTCTGTAGCGTTAAACGGAAGACAAATTTTTGTTCTGATTTTTTTTTCTTTCTTTCTCTTTTTTTTTTTTTTTAAATGCCTGCATGAACACACAGCTGTATATTTGAAATCGTCCTGGCTTCGTTGGCAAACCTGACCATTAAAACAATATATAATAATCAAAATAAAAAATAATAAAATCCCCTTCTGATAACAAAACGTATATAATTGTTTTGCAATAAAGATACTTTAAAAATCTAAGTCGAGGGGCCTTTGAAGTAAGCCGACCCCGGGCCGTGCTCCCCTTCCACCAACCCCCAAGATACGCCACAGCCTGGAAAATAATTGTATATTTTTTTATATACATGCATTTAATTTATACTTCATATAAATGAAACGATTACTTCAGTACTCAGATACTTGATTCGAAGTACTGTATAGCCACATTTTTGGATAGCCGATACATGCCATTAGTTACTGGATTGAAAAAAAATACAATATTTTAGGGTATCTTACATTTAAAAATAAACGAATAAATAATAACAAAAAAAGAAATAGAAAGTTATTATTTCTTATTTCGGCAGATTAGGTATTGCAACGATCGGGCAAGATCGGGGGCTCTCGGCTGTTTCCGATTTCCAAATTTGTACCTACCTAAACTAGACCTACCCTTATAACTTGGGCCCTTTCAGACTAGCTAGGACCTGGTTGAGGTAAGGATCGTTACTATTATTGTTATTATTTTTATTTTTAAAATTAATATGTAGGCATGTTAGATTTGAGCGAGTTGTCTAAATATATGTATTTTTTTTGCAATTAACGACTGTTTATTTTATTACAATAGCTGGTAAATGCGGAGACAATATTCACAACTCAGGACCACGTGTTCATTAAATTTAGGAGTCATGTTCAATTTTTGATGAATTATTTCAAATATTCGTACCACACCGCTAAATTCCTTTTGTGCATATATTCGACGATTTTTGAATGTGAAATATAGGCTATTAATTGAATTGAACACGTTTAGATTTCATAATTAGAGAATACACTGTCTTGATATAGATTATTCATTAAATCTATCTAAAATTATATTTGACATTAGAATAATTATATTGAATACAATTTTGTCCTGTAATATTATAATTAATTTCTCTTCCATTGTGGACATAACTTTTGTGTGGGTAAGTAAACCTTTCCACACGCCATTCGCAGCCATTGTGGTGAGATGACAAAAGCACAAATTTCTGGAACAGCGGCTTCACTCTGCGTCAGGGGCGGATCTACGGGGGGGGGGAGCTTTCCGGCTGAAGCCTCCCCCCAAAATGGTAAAATATAGCCATGTTTTATCGAAAAAAATATTATAAAAGTATCTCTTAAAGTATTATTGTTTGTGTAATTACATTTAAAGGGGCTTTAGGAATCACTTAAACACCATTTCATACAGGTAGTTAGTTTCTTTCATCTTTTCCAAAGTAATTATCGTTATTTTTATGAAAAAAACCGCTTTCGGGCTGAAGCCCCCCCAAAAATTAAATCCTGGATCCGCTAGTGCTCTGCGTGCAACGAACATTTGCTGTTTCATATTTTTTTTATTATAAACCAACAAACCGCCAATCAAAATGTAATTTCCGCCAAGCCTTTGTTTGGATTTAGAGGAAAATGTTACCCTGGGCCCACACTACAGGCAAATCGAGGCAAATTCCCGCATTTTGCCTCAGTTTTATGGGAATTTGCCCGAGTTTGCTAGCGCCACTGTCGTAGAGAACAAAGGAAAGGGCGAGAGTGGGAGAAGGTGGTGGGGATATTTTGACCAGCTGGTGGAAGGTAATGGGCTGTTTACCCCGGTTTGTTGCATATCCATCCGGAATGGAAAACTTAGGCAAAATCCAAGCAAGTTTTGCATTATGGCCGTTGCGCTACGCTAGTGATGCATTGAATAGCCACTGTGATTGGCTGACACAGAAACTTCCATTTTCCGCTTTTTTTTGCAATATCCGGAATAAAACAAAATTAGTGCGCACAACATACAACTTTCACTTACCTTTCTACTTTGAATAGAAATTATTTTCTGGAAATGTTGAGCAATTATAAAATTTTTGAAGTGCACTTTTAACGGGTCTATAGCTTAAAGTTTACAGCTAACAATTCATTAATATCACTAAAATAACAGAAACCCTATTAATTATATCAACGGTAGATAATAAAAACCTCCCTACTCCATATTTTTTCGTAAACCACATAACTCCGGTCTCTGAGCAATATACATATGTCTAGAGAGATTTTAAAGTATATCTCTATATTCAACCTATAAATGATTATGGATTCTACGCCTATTAGTTATTAAACTGTTATTTTCCATTGTAAAGTTTACTACAAGGAGATTACGAGATTTTCATCGCCTGTCATAGATAGCTCAAAAGTTTTTACACTAATTTAACAAAGGGAAAATTCATCAAATTACTCACTAATTTAATTTTTTTTTAAATGTTATACAACGACCAACGGACGTTGATACCTAATTATTTAAATATAATATCAGATTTAGAATTATTAAAACTATAGTAAATGTATTTAAGGTTATAAACATAGGCTTTATACATCCATGAAATATTTTTATATTTCACTTCTTTCACATTAGTACTATGAAATATCTTTTTTAACAAGAACATTGCGTTGATTAGGTGAATTTTAAATACTTTTTTTCAAACTTAAAAACAGTTTAAGTTTAGTTAGTAAATTTCATTTATTTAATTTCCTTGAAAAAATGTGATTTCCGTTAAATAATATTAGTTTACACAAATTATTATTTATAATAATCTCTCTCCATTACTTTCTATATTTCATATTGTTTTTTTCTAAAATTATCCGCTTTCCAACGATATAACTTCTGACAAGTATTTCCGGAAATTCATTTTCATCCTCAATACACATTTTCCCTTTTTTTCTCCATTTTTCAATTATCAAATTCTTTCAAAAGTTATATTTAGCATTTTTTCGTAATTCTTAATAAAGAGAGATGGTTAATTATTAAAAATTAATCAAATTAAAGATACTTTAGAGGATGAAACATGAACATTTAGGCATTTAAGCTATGTAAAGTGACATTAATGGGGATAAGACCTCAATGATATTAAAGACCACTTAATTATACAATGATATACGAGTTTAATCGAATTTTTTTCAAAATCAAGATTTTCTGTGCAACCAACTTTCTGTCTTTCAGTAATAACAAACAAATCATTATAAACTACAAAAATTAAATTAAGATATTATTTGCCGTTAAATGAATTATGGAAGTTTGTTAGCGGAAGGGTTCATATAAATAAAATTAAATAATGAAATATAACATATTATATCTTTGAACATTTTTACATAATATATTTTAAATATCAAAACTTTTAATCCATTACTTGTTATTCCCATTTTTCATTACTTATATATATTTATTATAATATTTCCATATATTTGCTAATTTGTACTTATCATCTTTTTGTGTGTCAGGTATATATATCATAACCATTCGTACTTATTCATTACCTTTTATTATCATAAACTAAGCTTTTGTTAATTCATCTAATTACATTTTATTATTCATATCTAATTATTCCATTTTATGTTTCTTCTTCATTTAATACTACTCTTCATTGTTTATTTCCTATTTATAGTTGAATTGAAATACTTTATAAAACCAATTATGTCAAGTTCCACTTTTGGTAATATTATTTCAGCCAACAATTTGCCCTAACATCGCTGCCATACCTTACCTTAATAAATATAATCTACCTTAATAAATAATTATAATCACTGAACTTTTCATTTTTTAGCTAGATTCTGCATTTACACAAAAAAACCATTAAGCAAAAAGTTTTTTTTATGGAGGGGAGGACTTACAGAATCCTACATGTTTTCAATTGAAAACTCAGAGTTAAAATTTTTAATGATCCCAATACTTCGCATTACATTAAAATAAAATAATATCCATTTTCACATATTATTTAGTCAATATAAAAAAAGAGTTCAAAATTTATTTATTTTTTAACCTATGCTTATTCTACTTTAGAGAGTTGAAAACAAGTAATCATTATTTTTTTAAAATGATCAGTTTCATTTTTAGTGCCCATATTTGTATCGGTCTGTCAACTAATTTTACATTTCACAAACATTAGTGTTAATCTATATCTGTTTTTTTTTATCTTTCTATATCTTCAGTTCAAATAAAACCAAACAACTCACAAAATTACTAACCTAGACTCTAATAAAGTTGCATTAATAACATTTTAAGCACATATTGAAACACCATAATACAATACTATATTTGTAATTAAATGACTGTATCATGGTTAGAGACTAACATCATTCAGTGCCAAATTTTAAGCCTACTTCAATAAATAATCAGCCATTACTTTCTTTTACTGACTACAACATATATCATTATGTTTAATGGTAAATTTCCAACATTTTTGGGTGTTTACATCATATCACTTTGGAGATATTTAACCTAAGCCTAAAAAAGTTATATTTGTATAAAACATTGTCTGATTAAAATAACAATTAAGTCTAAGTGTGGAAATTTTAACCACATAGTGAGACTGCCTTTGTTTTGTTATTCGCATTTTTAATTTTAGAAATTTGACATATACCTAGCATTTATTGGTTACTTACAGATAAGTTGCAATATATATGTTTGAAGGGAAATGATAGAAGATGTTATTTATAATACATACAACCCATATATTTACAAAATATAATAAATCATATACATAAACTAAATTTAATAATTATAATGTTGCTAGAAAATTAATCTTTATATCTTAACTTTGTTATTATTATACAAAATAGAAATTCTATTAATGAACAAATAAATATTTTCAGGTTCAAATATACAATACAAAATATAAATGAATTAATACAACACACAAATTAATGAATACAAGATATGTTTTTGTTTATACAAAATCATGAATAAAGGAATATAACATTACAAATAAAGCATTTTTAAATGCATCAGAAAAAGCTGAATAATAACTAATGATTATTCTAATAATTTACTGGATTATTCTCCATCTTCTTCAAACACCTTTAATAAGGCTTTATTAATAATATCTCTTTTTGGAGGTACAACCTTACTAGTATTTACAGAAAAAGTGTCTGTTTTATATTTTTTAAATGGTCCAGCCCAGCATGTTGCTGGGAAATCACTCTTTTTGGTGCATTCGCAATATACCACGGGCACAGGCTGCCATTTTGTTTAAACTAGTGCTGGTTTCATTATTACAAATATTTTTATTCCACAAAGTCCGTACACATCTTCCCCAAGCCTCGTTCCATTTCACATATGCACAAACTTTGTTCTGGTTGAGGTAATTGGTCCAACCCTTCTCCTAACATGGACCCATAATTCTGTGCAATTGTTTTGGGTTTATTTGTATTTCCGCACTGTTTTTCTATTATTTGGACAAGTTTATTGAACGGGGCCATAATTTCCTCTTCGCCTTTGTTTGATTTTTTTTGTCTTAGGCTGCAATACATACTGTTGTTCAATAAAGATGAATCATCGAGTACTTCAGCCTGTCCTTCATGTTCACACTCAACAGTAGAGAAATGCTGAAAAAAAAAAATTACCAATTTTAGGCCTGGTATCATCCAACTAAAAAATCAGATTTTTTAATTTCGTTATAATTTTTTCCCTTCTATTTTTTGCCATGCTTATAACACCTTTAGTTGAGATTTTCATTTTTAAAGGAGGGTCTATGTCTTGCACACTTTAAGACTCAATTTTACAGAGAACAAATAAAAGCTATGTAACATTTACATTAATAATGAAAGTCGAGGAAAAAACAAAACTAATCCTTAATTGAAATAGGAAACAATGGAATCAAATTCATAACAGAAGAAAATAAATAATTTGTTATGGGTAAACAGATAATGTGGAGGGTTAAGGAAACAAGACAGAATGGCTAAGGCATCATAGGGCATTTTCTCTTTATAGTCATTACCCTATGTATGTACATTGTTTTGCTATATGAAAAAGTATTAAAAAAAATAACTTAATCATAGACTAGGAGGGATATCGAAAACTAACAATGAACTTCCAATAAACTAAATATAAATAACCAGTTAAATGCTAAATAATTAACACCCCTTGTCCATTGTTTCCTTTGCGATGATGTACTTAAGTTGGACGTTAGAAAAGATAATAGAACTAAATTAACTTACAACAGACTTAATTGATTGTTTGAATTGAAAAATAATAAAGTAACACTTGCAAATTTAGTAAAAGAGGAATTAACCATTCACTAAATTGTAAAAAATGTCTATACAATAAATCAAAGAACCTCATAAATAAATGGAGAAAAGAATTTTTAAATGCATTCCTTGAATCAAACAATTGAAAAAATATTGGCAGCTCATTGCAAAGTAATTAAGTGAAAATTCATTATTCCTTTAAGTAATCAAGAACTTTGAACATCTTTTTCTTTATAAAATCAGAAAATTGTGTGCTTCTTGTAAGTATAATTGATATATAAAAGGGTTTGTTTCATTTCCATGCCCATACAGTGTTTTTGTATTGGTAAATAAAGTCAAAATTTATTTTAAAAAATCTTGAAAGTAACCTATATCAAATATGCACATAGTGCATGAATTGAATGCAGTAAACGGAGGATATATCAAGAATTTTCACTGGTTAGATAATTATTAATTGACTATGTTTAATGGAAGGAAATTGACATTCGAAAATTGTGTGTGAAAAATTACATAAAATCGCGTTAATTAGCTTTACAGATATATATTTTGAAAAACAAGGTAAAATTTATTTATAGAGAAATGTCATGGCAAAGAAATAAACAACTGATATTAATAAGGAAAACTAAGATCAATTTTATGCTTACCTTGTATGATTCTCATGAATTTTCGACATCTGTCATCTTCTTTTTTTTCTCCACTTATTTTCTTCTACTTGCTTTTTTTTATAGAAGACATAACCAAAAGTAGCAGTCAATCCCACGGCAATTCTAGAAGGGCCATGTTGTTTGCTTGGACTAACTCCGTCCTACTGAGCACATTTTCCATGGTTAACGAGCTTCGATTAGTTCCTTATTTTGCCGCAAGTTTGCCAGAAATTTTGCCAAACCGAGTTTGCCTGTAGTGTGGGCCCAGCATTAGATGTTATGGGATGTCCTGGTATAATGGCCGCATATTTTTTAAGTAGTTGCCATGTTAAGATATTTTCTTTACACTTACTGGAAAAAGTAATGTCCTTCAATTCTTGTTGTGTTTTTTAAACATGCATTCTTCTCAGCTTTTTTTTATCGTATATTCAAGTTTTTTATGTACATGAATTTGTTATTCTCATTAAATATTTATATATCTGATGTTTAGTCCTACTTGGATCATGAATATTTATCAGAAAAAATTATTGATGACTATGTAATGATCCATGAAAAATTCTGAATGTTGATTTGATTTCTGCTCAGTTTTTAATGCCATGTTTCTAGCAAAAGGTGTTTTGTTTTTTATTGTTGCCTTCACATTGATTTTACCCAGTAGCTAGTTAAATAATCAAAACTATGCAAGTACAATCCATAATGGATCTTGGATTCAGTACTTTTTAGGTAAATACTAATTCTAGGCAAAGAGTTGTGCAAACAGCATGGCCAAAATCAGGCCTTTTCACAAGGTTATGAGCTCCCACTTTATAGAGGCTGGGTGTTGCTCAGGATAGTCGCCTGACTCCATCCTCAATCCTAATATCCTCTATTTTTATAGAATTGATAATTATCTCTCACAACTGGACTTGAACCTAGGGTCAGGAGATAGGAACATAGCACCTTGCTCACTAAGCAACCATGCTCCCCTCAAAGTAATAAATGGTTTCAATTGAGAACTCAGATTAAAAGAAAGGCCTTTTTCTACTCATGTTATGCAACTTTTGCGGATTCAAATGTAGTTCTATATTTTTTATTTATGAGCTCTCAATTCTAACCAGTTCTAGTCAAAACATTTTAATTGAAACAACTTCAACAAAAATAAATCTATGTAAAATATTTGTTAAAGCTGCTAGTTATATTAGAATTATATCTAAACAATAAATATCTGTGATGCCAAAATAGGATTCTGGAATAAAACATATATTAAGGTGCAACGATAATAGAATAAGGCAGTACAGTTATATTCAAGCTTCTATTTTTTTTGTTTTAATTTTAATCTAAAACTTTTATTTTTAAGCAAATAATTCAGCAGTCATTTAAAGCCATCAGCAAATAATTTTAAGAGTTCAGCAGTCATTAAATTTTTGCAAGCATCTAAAACACTTTTACTTTATTGCTTATTGCCCTACAAGGCAGGGTTATTGTTCATCTGATCTTGTTTAAATTCTCAGAAAAATATTGAGACAAAAATTATACTTAAATATTAAATACCTAGGCAAGAGTGTAACCACCTAAAAAATTTTAAATAAAGTTATTGCAAATTATAAAAAAGTTTGACTGTATTTGTGTTGTGTTCCTGGTTTGTAAACAGTTATTATTTTTCAGAAATATGGCGGATGTAGCTCCAGCCGGTGGCCGAGGAGGCTTTAGAGGAGGTTTCGGAAGTCGTGGCAGTGGACGTGGTGGACCACGAGGAAGAGGACGTGGGCGTGGCAGAGGCAGAGGACGTGGTAAGGAAGGAGAGAAGGAATGGCAGCCAGTTACAAAGTTAGGTCGTCTGGTCAAGGATGGAAAAATAAGAACCCTGGAAGATATATATCTATTCTCTTTACCCATCAAGGTTAGAATCAATTCTTGCGGTGAATGCTAGGTAACTACAAATTTTGCAAAAGAGGAGAAATTGTAGAGAAAGGTTCGATTAAAAAAAGGGCAATAATCAAGTTACTATTGCTGGCGATTTATAGATACTACTTCAAATTTTCCAAAATAGGTGAATTGATCACCAGGACAAAATTCCATTTTAGAACTATAGAAACTTCTAATTATATAAAATTTAGAAATGATTGCAAAAATACAATGAAAACTCAAGTCTCACATTCTTCCAAAATCATGAAAAAACGTTAAATTGGGTTTTTATCGACAAAGCTGAATTGCAGTTACCTAGTTGTGATATCCACACCCAAGAACTATCAATTTACTGGATAATTATCTATCTTATTATTTGTATTTTTCTAATGAATTAATTTAAGATAAATGTTTTAGGAATTTGAAATTATTGATTTTTTTATTGGTCCTGTATTGAAAGATGAAGTTCTGAAGATCATGCCAGTTCAAAAACAGACTAGAGCCGGGCAGAGAACAAGATTTAAGGCCTTTGTTGGTTAGTATTATTTTATTGTCATTTTAGGTTTTAGTTAATTCAATATTGTTTTTTGATTTTTGTTATTGTGACAGCTATTGGAGACCACAATGGACACATTGGTTTGGGCGTGAAATGTTCCAAAGAAGTGGCTACTGCTATCCGTGGTGCTATTATCCTTGCTAAGCTCTCTGTCGTTCCAGTCAGGCGTGGTTATTGGGGTAACAAGATCGGAAAGCCCCACACTGTACCTTGCAAGGTAAATTATTCAATTGGCTATTTAATCTGTATAAACCTTACAATTATATCAAAATGTAATTTGTATTTTGAAACTTAAATAAATTCAATCAGAAGTTCATTTACTGTTGCTTTACACTTAATCTCTGGATAAAATTATGTTTTTTGTTCCGATCATTCACTGAAGGAGATTTTAAATAATGTACTTATAAATTTTATATCATTATAGCATTAGATTTTTCAATTCTTTAGTGATGAAAAATCAATCCACTACCTAATTATTGTATGAAATATATAAAGAAAAGTGGTTAAAGTATATCTGGAAAGCCTTTATAAATCAAAAGAATCATATTTTGTATTAGTTAAACTTGAATTGTTTGCAACTTAAGTATTCTTTGTCCAGGTTACAGGAAAGTGTGGTAGTGTGCAAGTGCGTCTTATTCCAGCACCCAGAGGAACTGGCATTGTAGGTGCCCCTGTACCCAAGAAGCTTCTGCAGATGGCAGGTATTGAAGATTGTTATACATCTGCCACAGGATCAACTGGCACTCTTGGAAACTTTGGTAAGTACAGTTCACTGCTTGATTTTGATTTATTTTATATCCTTATTTTCGGTAGTATAAACTCCATGAAAAGTAAAGTGAAATTACTCGATTATAATCCTACGAAGTCTGAGATACTCAATGTCTGTGAACGGAAAATACTCTGCAGGATACATAGGCCAATCTGGAAATCAAGGAAGAATTGTGTTTCATGCAATGTATGGGAGACCAGCCCTGGTATCATTTGTGAAAAAACCCACCTCAAATATCTCAGATGTTAGAAACTAGGATATCAAAACGCCTGTTGTATGGAAAAACCGGAGGGAACAATATAGAAGAAGACCAAGAGTGAGATTATTGGATAGCGTCGAGGAAGACCTCAAGTTCCTTGGACTAAGGAGATGGAGGACATGAGCAAAATATAGGGATGACTGGCTAAGAGAAGGCCTTGTAAGACCGTAACACTCAACGATAAGTAATTAATCCTACAAAGTTAAGCTTATAACATTCATACGAGTGTCAAAGCTTGTATCTGTGGTATATTTTTAAATTCACCCTGATGATTGCCAGCAAAAAGGTTAAGAATGTTGTAAAACCTAATGGAACAACAGAAAAATGTTTCATCAAAATCAAATCTGCCATTTCGATCTAAAGAGCAACAACCATGGATTCATAATAGTAGAAGGATCACAACTTACATGCATTCTGTTATTTAAAATATTACGTAAGTAAAATTATATATTATGAATAAATTTTCCTCATGGTCAAAAGAATAGAAATTACTTAAAGTAAAAAAAAAATTCTATAATCGTTAAACTGCAGATAAGCTTTTTATATTATATTCATTTTTCTTTTGTGTACAAATAGGTTTCAGATTTTTTGAACAGTAATGAGAGTTAAATTTTAACTTTTGTGGTTTCTACTATATGATTTTTTTTTCTCAGGATGGTTTAGAAGCATCTGAACTCAACCTTTTTCACAAATTATTATTGAATTATTTGTTAAAAGAGATCCTCAAGCATCTTTTATCTAAAGACTGTTTCTATCATTCAATTTAACTTTTATTTTTAAAATTCCCTTTTATGAGAAGTTGCATGATACTTTTTATATCAGTCCTGGACTTCTGGTAGCTGGTGAGAAGTTGACTTTTATTATATTGAGATTGTGAATTCTTTACTTTTTCAAATTATTTTAATCATCGTCTGAACTATGATGATAATTTTGTTCAAACTTTTGCGGTTTCCACAGAGGAGTTGATTTCCTAGGATGGTTAAAAGGGTCTGAGCTCAGTTGTCAGAAATTTATTGTAAAACTATTTTTCGGTAAAAGAATATGTAAGACTTCATTGTTATTTTTCTTTTATTCATTGTCTTCTTACTATGTAAAGAACATTATATATAACTTTATAAGTTTTAAAGAATTTGTTAATCATTGCATTGTTGATTTATGGGATAAATATTATAGAATATTAAAATTATTTGCAAATCAAGTTTGCACTGAAAATACAGGAAAAATCCAAAAGGATAGTATATTAATTTTTTTTTTTTTTGTTTCTAGCAAAAGCTACGTTTGAAGCCATATCAAAAACATATGGTTATCTGACGCCAGATCTCTGGCGTGATGTGCCATTATCTAGGGCACCGTACGCAGAATTTTCAGATCATCTGCTGCGGAACCATCATGCCAAAGCTGTTCCTGTTGATGAATGATTATTAAGCTCTTCCTCTAATTAATGATAATATAATTTATCTGATACAAATAATAAATTAACTTTTATTAGAATATTAATTTATTTTTCCCAAATTAACTTATCTAACTTATGTTTATAATGGTTAGGGCTAACCTTGTAATTAAAGTATACTCGATTGTTCTTCAGGAGGCTAGAAATATAATTTCAGGTTACTTTAATGTTATTCTATTGTGGTAAATATTAAATTTTTTTCAAATCTATATATATAATGTAAGGGGAAGCAACTAATGCTGGATATGTATTTGGTAATGTAAGTTGAGATTTTCTTATGAACAAAGATGTTGCAAAACAACATGCATGAAACTGGAAAGCAGTTGACGAGAAATAAGAAAAGGTGGAGAAGGCTAGTCCAAGAACTATGAAGTATGTAATTCCTACAGGAAAAAAAAATCAAATAAAACTTACTGACCTAAAACTGGGTCCACAAAAAGCACATTGTTGGGCCATTGGGTACCCAAAAGTTACAACTTAAGTACTGTAAAGGGTAAAACAAAGTAGAAAATTTGTGAAATAGATTCAGCAGTGCCTAGTTTGTTTGGAATAAATTTTAAAAACTTATTTTGACAATGAGGCTTCATTGTGAATTTATCCCTTATGGTATTTCAGTGATCATAATAAATTACATTTTGCTATTTACATATTTAGGTGACGCTATGTTCTAAGCAAATAACTAAAATAGATTTATCATTTTTTTTTTTTTAAACAGTTTTATTATATAGACTTATATTTTATTATATATAGTCTTGGATATTGATGGACTAGCTCTGCTTAAATTATTAAGAAAGAAATGAAATTGAAAGAAAGAAACAGTTTCTTAAATTAGAATACCTTAACATTTACATCCATCTGAAACCAGAACCAAATATATTTAAAGGAGAAGACATGACTTTTTTAGCACTAAGTGGTGGTGAGTTACACAGGTTGATCTATGGGGTAAAGGGGAACTTTCTTGCTGAAGCTCCCCAAAATGGTAAAATATTACCATGTCTTATGAAAAATATATTAAAAAATTATCTCTACTAAATATTATCTATATTAAAAGTACTACTGTTCATGTAAGAACATTTAATAAGACTCCAAGAATCACTTAAACACCATTTTGTATAGGTAGTTGGTTTTTTCTTTTTTTCCAAAGTAATAATTATATTTAATAAAAAAAGAGGCTTTCTGGCTGAAGTCCCTCAAGATCAAATCCTAAATGAGTTATTGTTGCACAAATACTCTATGTTCTGATGTAAAGTATAAGGTTTTTCCCCCTATAATTTATAATAAAGGGAGTGACTTGCCCTTTTGGAACATCATTCACTTAGCACCGAGGAGAGGTGGGTTCTCAGTTCCAGGGTCTGGACTACAAGATTTTGTTTTTCAACTTCTTAATGTACATTAAAATAAAGTATAAATAACATTACATACATTATGTAATATCTCTACATAATATATTTGTTCATACTTGATAAGAGGCTACAATTGGATGGGAAATTATTCCTGGAGCTCTTGATTTCTTTCTATGGTTCTGCATTCACTGAACATACCAACTAAATTGACAGCTCCAAGTGCCAAATAATATTTTCGTCAAAGTATCAGTAGTATATTTATGCACTAAGTTGAAAGTACATAATTTATTAGGAATTTGTGGAACTAAAAAATGCTTCACCTCTCAAAAGTATATTCTCATCATGCTTCTGCTGTTAGACCAACTTCAAATGATGAGTGGTTTTAAGGATTTTATTTATTATCCCTAATAATAATAAATTTAAAAAAAAACCTGTGTAGCAACAACCCAAGAAAGGTCTTGGTTTCAGTACTATTTAATTTAGAAGTTAACATGGCTTATATTAGTATTACAGTAGTTTTCAACCCTTATAAAACCACTATATCATCTGAGGATGTTATGGAAGCCTAAAGGTAATGGTAATTAAATAATTTATTTAATAGAAAAGATTTTTCCCTAACTTTACTACTCACGTAAAACACTAAGTAGTATTGATGAAATCGAATGGTTGCATGGAAATGGGAACTTGGGACTAATTAGACCCATTTGGAGGCAGGTTGGTAAGCTGAAAGTGGAGAACCATAATGGAGGGTTGGCACCCTTGCTTGAGTGGTTGCGCTGTCTGCAATTCTTAGGGGTTTATAATAATTAACTAACTGTTATTTTTTTCTTACAGTAATTTAAAGACTTCTGCATATTTATTCCATCTACTTATCTCATATTAATATTAGTCTTTTTAGCCGAAAGTACTGGAACCTTCTCCACCAACGATGATGGATTGATGACTTAATGTTAAGTTGCGAGTATTCCTGTATTTTCTGACGCTACTACGCCTATGATTCTTTGTGTGGTAAAGCCGTATATCATGAACATTAATCGCAATAGTTCGTCGAAAGAGGTCAGACGACTAGATGACTGCCGGCGGACTTGTTTTTCAGAAGCGGTAGTTCCTGAATCAGGTAGCTGACACAACCTGGATCCGAGAATTCGATGAGTCCACCACTCTCTCCAAACAGTGCCCGTCCTCGAGCAGTGACAGGCGAGTGTATCCGTCCACGACATCCTTAGGGTATTTCAATCATTATGTGTATGATTATGGAATGTCTATCTTGTGGACAGTCATAAGCATCTGTATGGTATATTGATGACACACCGAAGAGTTCGGTTATGCCTTTAGCCTTCGTGTAGTTTTTTATCAATGGCATAACTATAAATAAAAAAAATTCTCTATTATTCGTGAACCTCAAAATTTAGACGTACGCTACGCCTATCCAAAAACATTTTGAATTTTTCACAATTATGAATAACAGATAGTGTGTTAAATAAAAGTACCCTTCATTCCCTTATGCCCATTAATGTATATATCATACCTTAAAAATATCATTTATCAAATTGAACAGAACTTCTTCCTATTTCTATAGGAGGTGGCTAATTCTACAGGGAAATTTAATTTTAATTTAATGAAAATATTTTTTTGTTTTTTTATCGTTTTGACATATATTCTGTAGAAATAGTTGATAATATGATATTTATTTAGAAACGTATTACCAAAATATCTGTTATTCAACTGTTGACTCATATAGGAGAGGGAAGTGTAAAAGAAAGGGTGACAAAATACAAAATTAAGCTTGCCACGATGTGGCTAAAGTCCTGGTACCGGTTCTGCTTTTTACTAAAAAATATTCCATAAAGATTATAACTAAAAATAATTACATCATTTTTAATATTATTATAATGCTTTTTACGAGAGTTTCAAAATATTAAAAGAACCCACGACAGTTAAAATGATATATATCACATAGGTCATTTTTATTTATTTATTTTTGTTGTAAATTGCGATTTCATAAGATAAAATGAGTACTTTTGATTAGCAACGTGTAACTTATACTACTAAAAAAAAAAAGATCGACAGCACAAGAAACGGATCAACTTCGTGAAAATGCATTCATTGATGACTATGTTTGCTTAAGCTCTTTTAAAGTAAATCCTTTGACCGAAATATTAGGGATGGCAGGACGCATATTATCTGAAGCACGAACGATTTTAAGGTATTTTTGGCAACCTGGTAGTTTGCCTAAAGTAATTTTTCAGATAAAAAATCTGGGTGTCCACTCACACGACTTTCCTACCTATTTCAGAAAAGGTTTTATATCTTTACATATGTTCATGAAGAAACAAAAAAGAATTGAACTACATTTATTTTTCTGAAAATTGATCAAACAAAAGATTTGAGTACAATTTATTAGATAAGGCAATGAAACCGGCTTTAGGTAGATCAGTGTAAAAATTTCGATACTCACTAATATTACTGATCAAAAACTTTTTGCTATAGCTTAGTATTGTCAAACAATAATTTCTGTTAAAAGTAGAGGAAATAGTGAAGATTGTGTGATGCGGCTACAGTAAACTCGTAATCTTTCATTGGAAATTGAATAGCTGTAACTTCGCTAATAATTGTCCAAAATGAACAATTTATATGGCTTTGTAGGGAATTTTATTACCTTTCAAACGATATGCTAAACGGCGTGTTTATCGGACTCAGGGGGGGGCTGTGAAACGTATAGATCCGTCGAAAATCTGATATCGGAAATTTGACCCGATTGCAATACTTTCCTTACCTAGTATAGGTAGGAAAGTAATAAGTTAAAAAAATGTGCAAAAAATAGAATAGGCTGTATCATAGCTAATACTGGTTCGATTCCAATAATTTTTTTTTGTTTCGTTGGTAATTTAATTACCTTTCAAAAGTTTTATTACAAATTTTACCGTATAATATATACTTAGCGAGTTAGGCCCCTTAAAATTTTTCTTTTCTTTATAACTTTTTTTTCTGAATTTTTTCGGGAATTTAGTCCATATACAGAAATTGAAAGGACAATGATTAGAACATTATAGGAAAGTTTATTCAAAATCGTCAGAGCCATTTTTGCGCTACAGTCTATAGAAAATAGTGTTTTTAATTTATTGCGCGCAAACTATTGCGCATGGAGCACCGAATTTCTGTCACAGGCATCGGTAGTCAAAACCCTACAAAATAAAAAAAGAAGCAACGAAATCGGTTCAGTAGTTCCCGAGAAAATTTTGGCACAGACAGACAGACCACTGGCTAAAAATGTGTTTTTCGGACTCAGGGGGTTGTGAAACGTATAGATCCGTCGAAAACCGGATGTCGGAAATTTGACCCGATTGCAATACTTTCCTTACCTAGTATAGGTAGGAAAGTAAAAACGGTATTTATATTTTGTCCAATGATATATTGACAAATATGCGGTAGGATTGCAAGGATTGATGGCCAACTCTAATATTTCAGAAAGCTGTAAACTGTCCATAATAGAATTAGGAAGTGGAAGAATAGAGCAGAGTATCAAACCAGAGAACATGGGAAAAATGGAAAAGACCAAAGCAATTGTAATTTTATATGATCTACAGTTTTTAAAATTCAACTTTAGTTTACACTGGTTATAAGAAGAGGGAAGCAAATATCTTGGAAGGAGGGAGAGGTTTATGCTCCATCGACCTTGCGGGGGATGGGCATCACATGTGGATGGGAATAAAGTAATTTTTTAAAATTAATATTTATCTATCCCTTTC